GATGAGACCCAGGACCGCAGTAACACCCACGCCCACACCCACACCAACACCACGACCACTACCAAGTGGCAACTGCTCAACGATCGACCCGACCTGCTGAGGCACAGCAGTCCCCAGCAGAACGACCTTGGCCCGACCAACGACTACGACCAGGATGATGGCGACCTCGATGAGGACGAGGAGCACTGCTACGAGAACATTGCCACCGAGCTGACCACCACCTTCAGGGTGAAATCGCCCTCGCGTTCCCCGGACCGATCCCGATCGCCAGGCAGCTACGAGCGGAAGACCGACCTGCAGAGGGACGCTCAGATCCTGAGCGAAATGACCCGCAACGCTGATCAGACTCTGAAGGTTAGTAAAGTGGAAAGCGGTAGTAGCCATTAAAATAAATTAAAAATTGAACTTATTAAGGGTGCCATACATATCACTAGAGCTTTGAAATCACTTTTAAGCGCAATTTTAGGAGTCTACAAGATTGCAGCGATGGTCGACTTTTTCCATGAATTCGATGTACCTGACTTTGAAATATATTGTTGCATACTTTTAGACACCTAAGACTCATATTGTTTAAACTATTTTCCTAAGCTTTGGATACGTTTTTGGTAAACGGAAACTAACTGCTGATTAGTTTAATAGAAACATTTAAGAAATATTAGTCTATAACTTCAACGAAGGTCTGATCCAGTAATAACTCTACCATTTGTACAGGCTCTCTCCGATGAGGCAGCCATCAAGGATCAGCGGCGCAGATCCTGTTCCCTGCAGCGTCGCAGCGCCAAGCCCCTGGAGACCATTGACGAGAAGGTGAAGGCTTACCCCCAATCGATGGGCGTGGCCCGCGGCACCTTCGCCTCGGAGGCACGTCGCAACTCCCGGCAGTCAACTCCGTCGCCATCGAGGGCACGCAGCTCATCTCAGTCGTCCATCGAGTGCTGTCCGCGTGATCGATCGCGCTCCAGCTCGCGGGAGTCAATGACCCACGGCGGTGGGTCCTCCGATGACCAGGTGGCCAACAAACAGCGAGCCGAGCGTCTGCGCATGCGCACCCCCAAGCGAGAGAAATCGCGCCACGAACCAATCGAAGTTCGAATCAACCGGCACAGCAGTAAGCCAAGGAGCGGTTCGGGTGCCACCGCAGCAGGATCATCTTCCCTGGAGTCCAAGCGGAGCTCACACCACAGTCGCCACAGCCGGGAGGTGGATCACTCCTCCGAGACCAAGACCTCCTCTTCCAGCCGCTTGATGAGATCTTCCCGGGTGGCAGACGACAGCCGTCCGAGGCAGAGCAGCCATCGGGATCGGGAGAAGGAACGCGATCGGGAACGCTCCCGAGGAACCGAAAAGCACCGCGAAGAACTCACGCGATCCAGGGGTAGGTTATAACAAGACTCCTGCCCACTTTTCAAACAGGATCAAAACGAGTGCTATATGTACCCGGTTAATCCGATCGTGTCTCTTGCAGAACTTCTTGTTTTGGGCTTGCTCATTATGGGTGCCACACAGCCGCAGAGGCTGAACAAACGTTTTAGGTTCGCCAAATGAGTTTCAGTTGCGATCAGATCGGTTAACACCTAAACATCACACTTGAGCACAAGCAATTATCTTTGAGCGAGGTTTTCTCGCTTGGTCTTCGTCAGCACACTTAGATTTCCTTCACACTCACAGAAAGACACAATTTTAATGAAAACTAATAAAGGGCAAATTGATTTAGCTAGGATAAATTTCATTTCTAACACGTTTAAGAATTTAGTTGTAGCTCTTCAAAGCACACACAGAAAATACAGTTAACACAGTAAAAAGTTAAACAAATGTTGCTAAAAGCATTTCAATAAAAGATAAAACTGAAAATGACAATTTCGGAAGTTCGTGAATTATTTTTAGTTATATTACATCTAAATTCACACACATATCTACACATAGTTTAGAAATCTAAACGTATAAGTTTTGTGTTTTGTTTAACAGATTTATAAAGTTCAACATCACTATAAAAATACCGGATGAAGCTTTTTACTTCAGCATGTTTTTTTGTTAAACATTCATTAAACCTTTGAGGTTTCTAAGGGCCGTTTCCTCGTCCGTATGGTAAAAAAAGCATGTTTAATTTTCTAACCTCCCACGTTTTCTTCGGTTTAAACCTAATTTTGTATTGGCATATGAACGAGAGAACGACCCTTAAGCTCAGTTTTTCAGTTGAAACTGACAATATTCCTTATTTTCCGCTACAGGTCACTCCAGTCGCTCTAGGCACAGTGAGCACCCGTCGTCGGGAACCCGGGAGAGCAGTCGGCCAAGTAAGACGAGATCGAGTCGCAGTAGCCACGACTCAACGACAGCACACAAAAAGTCCTCAGCGACAGGCACGAGCACAACAGCCAGTTCGAAATCATCGAAATCCACAACGCATAAACCATCCGCATCAGCCAGCACCACAGCAACAGCACCAACCAAATCGCACCACGAACTGACGTACGTATACGTAACGAATTTAGCCAATACCCATTCCGAAACCAGCGAGGAGTCACCAGGAAAAGCAGCCGAAAGTGCCGGGGAGCCTGCAAAAGAGGCTGACTACGCCAGTATCGATGAGGTGGAGGTGTCGAAAACACCTAAGCCCCCGCCGCGTAGCAAACGGAAGAGATCCCTGATACCCGTGCCAGTGAGCCAGCCCGCCAGCTATGAGTATCGCACCAAGCTGCAGATGATACCGGCCAGCTACTCGAATCAGTCCACCCTGAGGTGTCGCAGCCTGGCCCGCAAGAAACCCTCCCTGAAGGCCACCCAATCGACCAGTTCCAGTTTCGCCTTTCTGCCCTATTTGCCTGCCAAGCGGAACTCGAGTGTTAGCCATGTCTATGACAACTACCTGTTGTACGCCACCAGCGAGGAATTGGGAAAGTCGAAAAAGCTGCGTCCCTATCAAAACAATCTGAGCAATGAGCATGCGCAGCTTTTTGGCGGCGGTGCGCCAGGGGCGGTGGCCAGGGAGGGGCGTGGTCGCCTGGGCGGCTGGCCAAGGCGGCTGAAAATGCGGCAAGTTCGCAGCAGTGTGTCCACCCACCAGCCCTTTGGCATCTGCACATGTTCATAGTCAGCGCGGGAAAAGCCCTCAAGAAACCAAAAATCAGAATAAATAAATTACTTATCCCTTGGCAGCCAGGATCTCGTCACCAAAACCACACACATCCCAATAATCCCAAATGCACGAATACGTTTGATATCCCACTGCCTGGCCGACAGCGATCTGCATTTTCCTAACCCCAAAAACCACCCAACCACTGTGTTCCCCTACTAATACTAAAACCCCAAAAATAATACACAAGTGTGAGAGATTTTAGTTTGTTCACTTTGATTATTACTTGATTCGGAGCGCACACACAATCAAAAACTCGGCCAAAGCACACAAGCACAAAAGAAAAAGGGCCTATCTGGGTTCTGTTTTTACTTCTCACAGCGTAAGCGTTTTGTTCCAAATTTCGTTTTCTTTTATAACCCTCAGTATTGCATGTTGGGTTTTGTGGGAAAGTAAAAGAAGTGGTTCGGAAGTGGGTATAACTGACTTCACCTAATCTCCAGACTATCAAAAGTAGCGTTATATAAAACCTTTTGCTCAACCAATTACCATATTCAAATATTTTAACCACTTAGTTTTCTTAATATTCAATTACTAATCTCACACCACTTAAACTTCTAACCTCATGCACACTCCGCTCTATCAGTAGAATCAACTCTAAAAACTGACTATGAACATGTTGCTGGACACCAGAAAAAAACTCAACAGAACTCATCAATGAAATTGGATTAAAAAAAAAACGAAACACAACATCAACAGCCTTGCTCTACTCTATTTTCTTTAGCAACTGGAACTACGTAGTTGAAGTAGAAATTTGGAAGTACTATCCTAAGAAAAACCAAAAACAGTAGAAAAACCACTAGAATCATATTTATAGTCTTTGTAATTGAACGTAAGTCTAACGTGTTGTTCTCTGTCTCCCCAGACACGGTAAAAGCACACTGAATGGACACCAACATCACCAGCACCAGCACAGCAGCAGCGGCAAGCATCAAGGATCTGGACATGGTCATCGGGAGCAGCCACAACACGTGCACGGCCTGACCACTTCGTCGATTGCGAACAGCAGACATCAGCGCGATCGCCACGGCAAGGATAGGAAGTAGGATACTACAAGGAACTCCAGCGAGAAAGCAACGAACTACTAAAAATAAACACCCAATTTAAAGATATATATCTACATTTGTAATACGTACTAACACCTGAACGACCAACCCAATTCGATGAGACTTTCTTTTGGTAATTTGCGAAATTTTCTGGCATTGTGAAAAAATTTCAAACAAATTACTCATGGTTGACGGATCCAAGCCTAACCGATTTACTAACTCTTCGATATTGCAGAATGTGACTTTGAAAATGTTCCAGTTCCCAGTTCCTGTTCGCGTTTCCATACACACTTCCCCCACCACCACAAAAAACGCTTTGGCATTGCACTCGAAATTCAAGTATTAAAATTATGCCAGCAATTCCCCTTAATGAAACTAAAAACTAAACATATAATAACAAATGATACTCATATATATTCTTCGATAGCATTTAGTATACGAAAAGCAAAAGTGAATGGAAATAAATATAATACATTTTTCAAATATATATTTTCGAACACAAGTGGCTTCCTTTAATAGGATGATGAAACGGTAGTACAAGTTCACAATTTCAGATACATTTAAAAAGGTCGGTATTTCATAAAAGGGTTTGTTTGTTGGGAAAACAATGAATTCAAAGTGATTAAATAAATCTGCCTCAAAAACCATTTACCTAAGCAAAAGACAAAATTGAAAATATCGCTGATGAAACTTGTTAAACTACGTGGAAGTTCTCTTTTCGCAGACCCGTGCTAACTCTGGGAAAAGCTTTTGACAGCTTTTCCGCCAAGTACTTTATTATATATTTTACTTTTTATCACTATACTCACACCAATCAACGTTGTGATAGGTAGCAAAGCTTATGGGTGCTCGTAGTAATAATCCTACGTGAGCGTTCCGGTAAATGGAAGAGGCTCTCAGTTGTTGTCCAACTGCCGTCACGTCGAACTAAAATTGTCCATTTTCTGTGCTGTGAGTAGAATGAAAAAGAATGAAAGCTGATAAAATAAATGTAAAGTGCCACTGCATTATGCTCCAATGGGGACACCGATAAGGAAAAAGCTTACATATCAATAGGAATATCTTTCAGTGCTCCACATTATTATGTATTCCAACGTGTTTGGTGATTTTAGATACTCTGATCCACTGGTGTGACACATAAATGAGTCATCGGTATAGATTAAATAGCCAGGGAAACCTTTGGTATTTAGTTTCCTATCTAACATTATGATGATAATCGTTATTATCAAACTTAACAAAGAGTGTATGTGCGTTTTATAAAGTTGAATGGGGAAAACACCTGTATTAAAGACTGCTCAGACTTCGTGTGTTAATCAAATTAGTAACAAAGTTTGACCTCCTTTAAGATATTATTTTAATTCTCTAAATTCGTTATTCACATTTTAATACTGTAAAAGAAATACTAATATCACTTTTGTTTTGTCTATGCTATAAAATAAACAGCAAACTTTTTATCTAATTATAACGTATCTTATCGGTTTCAAAAGTTCGTTTATCTTGTCTGAAATGGCGGTCTAGGCAACATCAGCACATGAAAAACAGCAGGTAGTTGACCACATTTGGCTCAAACAAAAGCAGAGTACTATATTATTTACTGATAAGAAAAAATTATATATATAGATTTGGTTGATTAGAAGTAGAACCTTCCTTGGTGTCTTAGTTTGCACTTCAGTACACTTCATTTAACTTTCCGAATCGATTCGCAACGGTTGTGTTCAATTTTTTGTTCGTCCAAGAAGTTAGTCCAGCCATCCTAGTTATACAGACTAACATTTTATAATGAACTTTAATACTATTGATTTTACAGAGCTTAAACTAAAAAAGAACGATGTCGATCCTAACGGGCAGCGCCAATGCGGTGAAATATACGCTGTTTGGATTTAACTTGATCTTTTTGGTAAGTAATTGATATATTTTATTGTTTGGATGAGTCACCATTCAAAGTCCCTGATAATGAAGCTGGCGATTAGATTGGGCAAGTGATCAATCCTCACTGGTAACAGGGGAATCACATGTACGATCAATTCTATAAAGTGCCGAAGGCACGCTGAAGTTTCTATACCCTTGCAGATCGTTCACATGGGAGCAGAGATTTTCGATTTTTAGAAAACTAATTTCAATTTACTACCGTATATGTTTACCGAAAATGAATCATAACGGTCTGTGTGCTATTTTGACATTATTATCCGATCGTTCCTATGGCAGCTATATGATAAAGTCGTCCGATTTGTTTTTAATTTAAATCAAAACTCTGAAATATTAAAAGAATGATAGTCCCAAGAGTAGAAATTATTATGTCAATAAAAACCATAGTTAAATTTTTAACATTTTTTTAAAAATATTTTTTCTACCATTCCAATTGGAGCTATTGGATATACTTGTCCGATCGGGCGCGTTCCAACTTATATACTACCTGCAATAGAAATACGTTTTTTGGGAAGATTTCATCCCGATAGCATTAAATCTGAGAGACTAGTTTGCGTAGAAACGAACAGACGGACATGGCTATATCGACTCCTCTAGTGTCAACATCACTATCAAGAATATATATATGGGGTCGAAAACGACTTTTTCACTGCCTTGCAAACTTCTGACTGAAAACATTATACCCTCTGCGAGGGTATAAAAATACAAAGTCATCCTGCATTGTCAAATAAATTGTTACGGGCATGTAACAAAACATACTAGAAACCTATATTTCATTAAAAAAACATTCGTATTTTATTGGTCTTACAATGTCTGAAGAATCACGAGAGCATTATCTTGTCTAAATTTCAAACAACCGTCACCGGCGAAAACCAAATAAACTTGCTTAGTTTAAGGGATAAATCATGCGCCAGCAACTCGAGTTAAAAACTAAAAGCAACAAAACCATGATAGGATATAATATAATTATGTGCTTATGTATATGCATGTATTTTATTCCAAATATTTGATTTCTACTCATTTTTTTATATCCCCCTCACAACCAAGTCCTGAATCCGCCACTGGATAAATAATTAGTACAATTCGTGAAAATATTTGTAAATCAGCTATTTAATTCTAATTAAATATTATTAGTTACCAAGCATAAAACCCATACTTGTTCAGACACTAAATGTAAAGATATTAATATCGATCATTTTAATTATGCTCCCAGATTACCGGCATCATTCTGATTGCCGTTGGAGCCGGAGTTGGGGCCGTCTACACTGGCTATGAGCTCTTCCTGGCCGGCAAGTTCTTCTCGATCCCCACGTTCCTGATCGTGATCGGATCGTTTATCATCGTGATCTCGTTTTTCGGGTGCTGGGGTGCCCTGAAGGAGAACTACTGCCTGGTGCTCAGCTTCTCGATCATGCTGGCCATTATCTTTATCCTGGAGCTGGCTGCTGGCATTAGCGGCTATGTGCTGCGCAACGACGCCTCCAAGTTGATCCAAACATCGCTGACTGCTTCGCTAAAAGAGTATGGTGGTGACAACCAGAATGCCACCACTCGACTCTGGGACGATGTGCAGCGGGAATTCGACTGCTGTGGAGTGACCTCCTACAGTGACTGGAACGTGACCTTCTCCGACGATCTGCTGCCCATCTCCTGCTGCAGCGTTCCCGTGGGCGCAGTGGGCAGCTTCAACTGCTGGGCCAACGTTACCAGCGTCGGCGTACGCCACGAGTACGGCTGCCTCGACGGATTCTCCAGCTACATTTCCGCCCACGCGGTCAGCCTGGGAGCAGCGGGCGTGGTCATCGCCATATTGCAGGTGAGTTGGTTCGATTGAGGGGTAGTCCCATCAAGACTGCTTGTGTAACTACACAAAGGAGTCTAAAGACCTCGTTTAATAAGATCTGATAGTGTATATATACATATATCCCTAGCAACACAAAAACTATGAAATTAAGTATTTTCAAGTTGCCCTTTTTTTTCTACTTTAGCTAAGGGTGTACTACAATTTAATATTTACCGTTTACTAAAAACCTAATACCCAAATTTATGTTCCTTTCTTCTCACCAGTTCTTCGGAGTCATCTTTGCTTGCTATATCGCGCGTGAGATCAAAATACGCAACGGCATTACTGGCTTTATGTAAGTCCTAAGGATCTGGATTCTGTGCAATGCGAAACAGGAACTTAGGAAGCCAAGCTCAGCTGCTTACTTTTAAGACTTTATTAAGCCTACGAATGTTTTTAGTCCTTTATTGAAATTTTCTTCGGCTTGTGTGAATAAAAATATAGTGTTTTGAACAAAAATTTTACCAATTTTATAGATTGTTGATTTATAAAAGCTTATCTGGCATAATGGGTTTGTATTGGTTGGATTATAAAAATCCAATCTTATCGATCCTATAGGGTGTTGCGGTCTTTATGATTGCATGTGCATTGATCTACACAATCAAATCGTTCGACCATATGTATATACAAATTCTTATGAAATAACGTAAGAAAAGTTAAGACACAAAAGTTTAACGATAAAGAATAATGCGCAGTAAATAGAAACTGATAGCCCTGGCCAAATATTAGTACCTATAAAATATATAATGTATTTATCTCTGGCGAAGGAGATCACGGTAGCCAACGCGTCCAATATCCCTAGGTCTGCAGAACATTAAGTTGCATTCATAGTCTTTATATTTTAAATATACAAAGAAGCGATATTTTAAAAACATCCATTTTGATCCAATAAAATTATTGTTTCCCACCCAAGTCAGACAAACCGCTAGCACACTTATGAGCAAGCACACCTGTGTTTACCTTTGAATAATTTAAGCTATTCGGAAGTGCAGTGCGATTAAAAAATCGATAAAACATAGAAGTTGACTCACTTAAAACTGAATTTGAATCGATTATATACTCGATTGAGCGAATGGCCTTGACATGTGAACTTGACCAGCAAAGTATATTAATATGAAGGGGAGTGTAAGCACATACTCTATTAGATAGTTAGTTTGTCAGTTATACATAGTAAGTTAAATATAAGAAACAAACTGAATATTTCATTGAGTCGCCTCAATATTCGATAACTTAGTTTCCGTCATATTGCGAAAACTCGGCTAATGAGAACAAGGCAGCTGTTATCTTATCTGATATTTGTTTAACTGACAGACTAGAACAATTTCTGCCTGATAAGCTATCCAGAGAGTAGAAGTGCCAGGTGCACCGCAAAAAAATGGAGAAATTCCCAAAATCGTTTTAAAATAATATATGAAACGTATACGAAAACTTGATTGATGACCAAAATAACTTACGCAGGTTCAACCAAATAATTAACGGTTTAACAGCCTATAAAGGAATTAATTTTTAAAATGATTCGGTCAGGAGTTATTCATTATTTAGTTACAATATCTTAAAAAATTCGAGAGCTACACGGCTAGAACCTTTTGTACTCAATCTTTGCGTAAGAATTTTCTCGCAGTGTAAGAGGGAGAGTGGTCGGGAGTGGGTGGCAAGGCCGGACGACCCCTTTCAGAGCGTGGGAGAGAGACCAACGACTCGCAACGAGTTCGTCGATTGCGTTTACCGTTTTGCCACTCAGTTCACGTGTGACTAGCAAAAGTTAAAGTACGTTCACTGCAAAGTCGGTCGGCGACCCATTAAAGCGAGCGATATATACTATATCTTACCATATATCGGAATCTACCCATTACTAACACTTCTTCATATTGCAGCTGACATTCGAGCAAGAATTGGAATAGCAGAATGGCGAATAGGGACTTACAGCTGAATTCCGGCATGAAGTGCGCCAAATACATGCTCATCATCGTGAGCTTTATGTTTGCGGTGAGTTGATCCTGGATTTTAGTCATTCAATATTGCTATCCATGAATCACAATTCCGCCATCTTGATTTATTTTCCGTTTTCTGCGTTTAGTTGTTTTATCATATAACACACCTATTCTTATCAGCCTTAGAGGGAAACAAATGTGTGGGTGTTGTTTTTTTTTTGTGAATCATTTTGCGCATACGTAAGTCGCTTAAAAAATAAATAAGAGCAAACTGGGAAACCAGAAAGAGAGAGAGAAACGGGTCAAGAACAAATTAAGCAATTTCTCTTACCAACTGTTTTCGGAAGCTTTTTAAAAGAAATAATAATAAATAAAACTCTTGAGAGTATTTCGAATATATCGTTGGTAACAATAGATATCAATGTCCATTCTTAAAAATTCAACTTTACTAATACCTAATACCTGTAAATAACTACCTAATATTTTACCGTAATTCTTTTCCCATATTTCACCATTCTTTAAATAGCTCAGTTACCTTTAAAGTTTAAACAGTAAAACAATTACTCATTTTGATAAGATAACAAGTCTTAAAGATATTGAACTGTGTTGGTGAAACCACATAAAAATGCGAATGCATTTCCGTGCCAGGTAATATAATATTTTTTCGACTTGTCCACAGGTGATTTTATTGTTGTTAATCAACAATTTTCAAATGCTTACATACCTGCTTTTAAACAAACAAATATTTGTAAACTTGGAGGGGTGCAGCTGAAGCACGAATGCTTTTAAAGTTTACAAATCATATTAGCAAACATAATGGGGAAAAATGGAGTATGCAAGTAAAATTAGAAGAATATATTAGTAGATTATTAAAAATCGTAGCAGTTTGCCAATGTTAGATCTTCTAGATTAGGTTATTAGTTGATCGGCATAATAATAATACCCACATAGAAAAAACAGTCTAAAATTAAGAAATCATGTCCGAATGTTCTTAAATTAAGATAAAATAATTAAAGAATACTTTATGTTCTTTAAACATGAGCTTAAATAAATTTTTGAATTGTATTTGTATTACATTGACTTTCCATACTTACACCTAGGGGGTAATTTTGAAAAACTCATATCGTCTTCTCGGTGGGGCCAGCAAGCCAGCACGAAATGTCACACTGAGAATGCCGCCCAAAATAAGCCTTAACATGCAATTCTTAACCTGTTTCCCCTTTCCTTGCAGCTAACCGCCATCCTACTGATAATGGTGGGAACTACCATCCAGACTATTTTCGGCGACTTCAGCCTGTTTATTGATGGACACTTCTCTTCGCCTCCGGCGCTCCTTATCGCCATTGGATTTATTCTGATCGCAGTGGCCACTCTGGGAGCTTATGGAGCCGTCAAGGAGAGTGTGATGGTCATTAATCTGGTGAGTTTTGATCCTGGATGCACTAACAGCAGTACAAACAAGTTATATTACATTACCATTACTAAATAGTAAAAATATAATTCAATATGATACCAGTAAGATGTACTATTGATGGCTTTAGCATTTTGAGAAAGATGCTAGTTCTAGAATAAACATTAACTGCAGTTTCTTAGTAGAAATAAAATTATAGATTTGTTTACTATCTGTTCTGTGCAACTGTGGAATAATAGTCTTACTCCTCTTCAGTACGGAGTGTGCCTGTTCCTGGTTTTCATCCTTGAGGTTTCTGCAGCCATCGCCGCCTTCGTGATGCAATCCCAGGTTAAAGGCATGCTTATCCGAACAATGCACCAGGCCCTGCAAGAATACGACAACGATCCCTATGTGGCAGCTGGAGTGGACTTCATGCAGTCTGGGGTAAGTTTAATAAATAGTGTAACGTTTCCCTGCCCAAAGGAGAAGCAGGTACAAAAACCACAATTATATGAAAAACATATAAAACAATATCGTAAAATTAAGGTCTTGGCGTGATGAAAAAAATCCATTTTCTTTTAAAAATTTGGTAATCTTCATAACTGTTCCTCTTAAGTAGAGTAAAAGGGTATATTATATTCCTAAGAAAGTATGTAAAAGGTAAAAGGAAACGTTTCCGTCTCAAAAATGTATATATGTTCTTGATCAGAGAGACTAGCTGAGTTGAACTAGCCATGTTCGTCCGTCCGGACATATGAAACTATAAAAGCTAGAAAGTTGGGATTAGGCAAGCAAAAATTGAGAAATTCCTGCACAGCGCAAGTTTATTTCAGCAGGGTGCCACTTCCAAAATAACGCCCGAATATTGGATTCATTAATACCTATGTATGTATTGACCCAAAAACTTTGCCACGACCATTCTAACGACCACAAACTGCCCTAAGCTGTGGAGCACACAGTTTTGATGCCAAAAAAAAACAGAGATAACAAGAGAGAATTCTATAGACCAGTGCCTCGACTATTATATACCCATTACTCAGCTATCAAATTTAACTCATTAACTTATAGGCCTATTTATTCATCTTTTTTCCGTCAAATGTACACCGAAAAATATTGAGCGCCCACCTTAACACCCGCAAGTGCTAAATTGTGTTTGTGGCCCCTTATTTTTAAAGATTTTTTAAAAGTAAAAATGAGATTTTATTTCGTTAATCTACAAATTGTGCAAGTCCGACCATTCTCAGAAAAAGTGTAAAGTAAAGAAAAGTGTTTAAAAAACTGTCGAATTTTAGGTCCAATTTTTTCAAGAAAGGCTTGAAGGAACTACTTAAATATTTTTCAAAACAACAGAAGTTTAATTTTGAAAAATTAAGTAATTTTTGCGAAAATTAACATATTAATTAATGTTTTTTCTTGTTTAAAGCTTGAGTGCTGCGGAGTGGATGAGCCGGAGGATTGGAAGGACTGCTATGGCCCCAACAAGAATTCGACACTTGGAGCGGACGACGTGGTGGTGCCCAACTCGTGCTGCGGTCGACCGGCCGTGGATTTGAGCGACTCCAACCAGGTGACCTGTCTGGAAACATTCGATTACGGCTGCTTCCGCAAGATGAACTTCATAGTGTCACAGAGCGCCATGTTGATCGCCACCGGAGCCACCACGGTGGCCTTTGTCCAGCTGTTGGGCGTCCTGTGCGCCTTCATGTTGGCCAAGACACTACGCCGGAACAAGTCCATCCGCGAAGCCCGCCGCTGGCAGCTGCAGCAGAGCCTGGGCGTCCTGATCTCCGGGGGAAAGATGGGTCCGCCCCAGAACTCCGCGGTCACCGGCTACCAGCAGCTGGACAACGGCGAACAGGGCACCCAGGAACCCTACACCTACACGCCCCAGAGCCCCAGCGTTAACTAGGAGTCGATACTGATCGAAGCCCTATTTATACCACATAGCATACCCAAAGAGATCCGCTTGTAAATGTAACTTTATAATTTGTTATCTAAAAAAAAGTAGTAAAACGAAAATAAACGCAATGGTCCTAGGACTACTTGCTGATAAACAATTTTTTTAGTGATAGCAGATATAAAGCAAAATCTGGCAAAAATAATATTTACGCAACTATATTTATAGTCTTGCAAAGGGTAATACAATTTCAGTCAGAGTATATATTCGGAGAATACATATATTCTTGATCTGGATCACTAGCCGAGTCGATCTAACCGTGTCTGACAGTCCGTCTGTCTGACCATGTAAGAGCTCTATGAGTTTGGATATAAGATTCGGATTTCTTAGCTTCTGATTCAGCGCAAGTTTTTTATCCGAATGTTCCATGCCCATTCGAAGGCCCACTTCGCTTAAGCTTTTCCACATTTTTGAAGATTTTGTTTATCATTACCCATCTATGTACAACATGGCGGTCCAAAAAAGGAAATTTTGTTCTCACCCCTTTACATGGTTGATTAAAGTTTTCAAAAAATGTATTCAAAAAGTTACATTTTTTGGTTGAGTTTTAGACCTTGCGAAACGTCCTCAAAGTTTCTTTCAAAATTACTCATACGACATGTATACCAGCTATATCTATTCTCAAAAGGATCGATTTCCCCTTCCCTTCGGTCAATATGAATTTTAGGAGGGAAAACTAAAGTCAGAACTAGACACAACGGACTTTCCATCCAAGTCAGGGCCACCTATATGAAAATAATAATTTTGATTATCCTCAACCGTGCGTATGAGTTATAAACTTTGAAACCAATTCGAAGACCCTAACCTTAATTGCAGATGAGAGTAGGACCTTAAAAATGTCCATACATGGTAAAAAATTATACAATCCTAAAAAGTTATGAGCAATAAAAGTTTTTGCAATAGATGAGCGGTTTCTGAAATCGAAAACTGTCGCATTGGAGCCCACAATGTTGAAGCTAGATTTGCCAAAAGATGATTATATGTTTATAAATTAAATATGCTAGCTGAGTAATGGGTATATAATAGTCTAGTCTACTCTAGTTTACGGCCCTGATCTCCGAATTTCTCGAAAATACTATTCTTGATTGACCGCGAATGCAGAATACATGAAGATCATCCTCGAAATTGTTCGAGATATTATAATCTTGGGTATATAAGCGACAGAAAAATGGTTTTCCAACGTACCTTTTCCGCATTGCATTCATTAATTTTGCGACAACTGCCTGGAGTCTTTGGCCAATTACAAATTGTGACCTTGATGTTTTTTTATCAGGTTTTCCTGAAAAATCTTTTGTTGCGGGACCCTGAAATCACTTTTAATGATAACAAGCAAAAACTCCATAAAGAAAAGTTAAAAGGACTGACAGTCCACCCATTTAGCGTACAAAAAAAAATATAAGATACACCACAAGGTCAAAACGAGTTTAACGCGCGTTTAACCGTTGTAAATTATTGAGTGAATTTAATAATCACGACTTATAAGATATATACATGTTACACAAAGGAAAATTAAATGAGCTTGAGGTCCCTATGACTGTTTGCGCAGTTCCTTGACGAACTTATTGAGCAATCGCAACTGCTCCACGACGCTGCTACTGGCAGTTCCGCCGATCGCGTTGTACTGCTGCACATTGTTGGAGTAGTCAGCCACTTGAACGATATCCGATCCAAATACAGGACTAAAGGCCTGCAGCTCGCCCAGTGGCAGATCAGTAATATCCACGCCCCGGTTTTCAGCCTCTGAAACCACGCGACCGATAATGTGGTGCGCCTGGCGGAAGGGAATACCCTTTTTCACCAGATAGTAGGCCTGAAAAGAACATAAAAAGTATTATTCGCTTTTATAATTTATTCACTTCCTTTTGAACGATCTGCGTGAAATCGGATTAACGACAATTTTATCTTTACGACCAACAAATACATTTAAAAATTGAAATTGTTGAATTTAAAATATTTATGACGAGGCAAATTTGGTTTTAAAAAATTTGAAAACAAAGAATTCAGAAAGTTTATTTTATGAAAAAGTGCACATTGGCATCATCATCATTATTAAAAAGCTACAAAAATTAAATAAATAAAACGTACCCTTTTTAAATACAAAATCTATCAGTTCGAAAACATTGAAAATACTTTTAGGATTTCACAAAATGTTTTATGTTTTCAAAAAACATTTTGGAAGGGTAAACAGTCTTTTAAGAGGTTGTTCTTAAGTTATTTAAAAAAGTTAGCACAAACGGCCAGCTAGTACTCATCAAATCACCATACCCAATCAGTGGCCAACATGTCCGTGCTAAGAGCCGCCTCCATCGATTCCTGTTTCACATGCATCGTCTGTAGAACACCGTCGGTCACATCCAGCACCTGGGACAGCTTGTCGAAGGAATGGAAGCAGTATTCCTTGTCAAACTGCAAGTCCTTGTTGTAGGTGGACGGAGTGCCCTTGATGGTCATCATAATACCCGTAAGATTGGAGGTGATCACTCCGGACATTCCGCGAATGAGCTCCAAACTGTCCGGATTGCGTTTCTGGGGCATCAGGCTGCTGCCACTGGAAAAGCCATCAGCCAGTCGGATGAAATCGAACTCTTTGGTGCTATATATAATGAGATCCTCGGCCAATCGGGACAGATGTAGGCTCACCATAGAGCAGCAATATATAAAGTCAACTGAAAGCGCGAAGCGATTAAAATACCAGGTCAGGTAAAAGATCTGGGAAGCTCTTGTGTTCATTTTGCAACCTCCTAGGAAATCAGTTTGACCTGGCAGTTGCAGTTATGTACGTTTTCAGTTGCAGGAAAAATATATACTTTTTTAGTATTAATCAAAATGTATAAGAACCTTTGCAAAGAATCTTTTAAGCATTACAGTTTTAAATATACTTCGGAAAAACTACATGATGTTATATATATGCACAAGTGACAAGATTTGAAAAATATTAAAGCGAAAAAAACAAAACTGACAAAAGAGCAATACTATCTTTTAGATTATAGTAATTATCGATCAGAACGATTGCAAAGAAAATAAATCGTATGAACGAATTTTTATATTGTTAAGCAATAAAGTGTTCTAGCCCGCCTTATCAACGTCTTCCCTGAGAAACAAAATGTCGAGATAAGAAATCTATCGCACCCAAATTGCAGTATCAACGACTTTGAAATGACTTAAGTGGGCGTTTCTTAAGAGACTCACCCACAAAATCGCGGTCTCCAACGGCGTGCATGCTGTTGGCCGTGACTCCTGAGAATCCCAGCCTCTCAGCCAGCCACAGCCGATCGATGCCGAGCGGATTGCCCGCCAGGGCACCACTTCCCAGGGGAAGGACATTAGACCTATCCCTTAGCTGCACCAGTCGCTGGGCATCCTCCCTTAGGGCGAATGCGTGGGACAGCAGCCAGTGCGAGAACTGGACGGTCTGGGCCCGCTGTAAATGCGTGTATCCTGGCATAAGGACGCCCAGGTGGAGTTCCGCCTGCCGGGTGGCGGCTTCGATGACCCGACTCAAGCGGCCCAAGGTCTCCCGGATGGCCTTGCGAAGCCAAAGCTTCATGTCGGTGACCACCTGGTCATTTCTGCTCCTCCCCGTGTGAAGCCGCTGGCCCAGCTCGCCGGTTATCCCCACCAAAAGACGTTCGTTAACCGTGTGGACATCCTCATCTCCAGGCAGGAACTTCACAGACCCTTCGATCCAGTCAAATCGCAGCAACTCGAGATTCTTTACCAGCTTATCGGCTTCTGCTTCGTTCAGGTGACCCGCTCTGTGGAGAGCCTCTGCATACGCCTTGCTGGCATCCAGATCATCCGCATACAAGCGGGAATCGTAGGGCAGACTATTGTTGAGCGACTGGAGTGCTTCATGGGGCTTCTCGCTGAAGCGACCACCCCACATCTTATAGGAGCTCTGGGACATGATGGATCCGGTTGGCGTACAAGTTTGAACACTACTGGCGTTGCTAATTCTCTTGCCCAGCTCACGAATACAATAGATTATTGTGTCATATAGCAGTGTTATCTTTCAAAATTATATGTGGCTCAGTTTTTTATATGATTAGAGCACTTCATAAGCGAGATTCTCTCTGTGGGAACAGTGGTGAATGTTAAAGACTACTACACCTCCAACCAGCTACAATCCATTCGCAGCTTAATTCTTAAAAAAATAGAAGAGTAAGGGCCCTCATGAAAAATGTTTCAATAACAACTTTAAACGAAAGTGCCAGAAAGTCAATTTACATTACATCTAAATTAGCAACTTGTATTTTGTAGGGAAAATACGCAGCAACATGACCACTGTGCCTTGCTCTCTCGAAAGCCATCTGATTTGTGCTCGCTGTTATATGATTTTTATTTTTAATTGACTTGGGCTAAAAAAACAAAAACAAATAAGCCCAGAGGGTCGGGGAGATATAGCCGCTTATCAGCCAAGATTAAAATCACAAGAGCGTGTGTAGCCTCTGACGCTTGTTGCAGCATAAGCTCTAGATAGATTGGGTGCGATGGCGGCGTTGAATCAAAAACATCACGAAAGATCCTGCAGGAACAGCTTGTTCAATTCACAGCACAGGCGATGCAGCGGTAGTCCCATCACACAGTAAAAGTCGCCGTCAATCCGGTGAATGAGAGCACCTCCAGGACCTTGAACCCCATAAGCTCCAGCTTTATCTCTGCAGTGGAAAAATGAAAACCAACTATTGACAAAATCTTGTGTTTTAGCAGCTTACAGGGGATCACCGGAATCCACATAGCTCTGAATTTGATCTGGCTGCAGGTCACCAAAGTATACGTCTGCTGTATCCGTAAATTTGCGAATTCCATGGGCATGTTTCAGTACAACGCCGGTAAAAACCCGATTAGAGGTTCCAGATAAACTACAGGAGATTATAATAGAGAAGTAGGTATTACAATTACATCTAACAAAGGGTTGATTAGTGAATACAATAAGTAGTTCTAAAATATTAATAATATACTAGTTTCTATTAACATAAGCCTGTTATAATTCTATAAATATAGAAGAATCTGTCATAGCTATACATACATATACCAAAAAAATATTACTTGGTTAGCATGCGTATTGCATCCGCAGAGTCCTTGGGTTTTCCATAGATCTCCTTTCCCAAGGTCACCATCGTATCTGCAGCTATCACAATTAAGTTTTTATAATCCCCCGAGGAACTCAGTCTCGAGAAAACCTCTTCCGCTTTCCCCAGTGCAGTGGCCTCTATGTAATCTGAGAACTCCTTGAAGTCCTCCAGGTCTAAATTCTCTTCAAATGTTGAAGGACATAGTTCCGCATTGAGGCCCTAAAATTACAAATTCTTATAAAGGTTCGACTTCTAAATGAATGTGAATTCTACTGCAACACACCAACATTTTGACCAGTTCCTGCCTTCTTGGGGATCCGCTGGCCAAAACAATGCGATAATTTCCCAATAAATGCTTAATTGGCGCCAACATTATAACATCTTTTAATTATAAACAAATACCATGTGTCAAAGGGATGGGAAACTAACGATAGCTATCGATTACCGTAAATATAGCCTCTGCACACGCCGCGGATTCTTTTTTACGTAGTCAATCGTTGAAACCAACAGCTGATCGACATAAGCGAAACGTATCCGAAGGCAGTGGGGACGTGCAAAGAGTTTTTTCCGAAATAAATGTAAGTGCATAGCTATATTTCTTTTCACGATGAGATCATTTACAGAGTTTCGAGCAAGTGCCGAAAACACCTAAACTCTTACGTTTTTCGCTGAGCGGAAACCCCCTGTGTGAAAAAGATATTAAACAGATATGTGAAACCCGAGACTCAAACCCTAGACACGAATAAGCAAGGAACCACACCGATAACCTTATCGATTTATCATGCAAATGCTTTTTAAGTTTGGCGGCTACGTTTTATATCATATCAATTTTAATAACAGTCTCGACTATAATCTGTTATCTGAAGAGAACCAAAACAGATTAATTTCTTTGTAATTCATTTGCATTTTATTAAATACATGTAGACGTTTAATATCTATAATACGTAATAATCTCAATCACAAAAGAGATAAAATATATAGCTACTTATACATATATAGGATTTACTTGGGCGACTTATAAAGATGCAAGTGTATAACTTAGTGACGGAAAACCAGAGTAGAATCGTGAATGCGCCCTATTAGTGATGATTTTATAATTGTACAACCTAGATTTAATTACAAACTATAGTAACAGATCTAAATTATATCTAGGTTTGGTATTTGTACAAAAGGAACCGGCTCTGCAATAGAACACAAACGAGACCTTTCGAGGATATGGAGAAAATTAAACTACATAATTCAAAGGACCGACGGCATAAAAAAGGCTTATGGAATTGGTAATGGCAATGCTAGCACAGCTTATAGTGACTCATCATGTGGGGTTACAAAATTATCTTTAAATATATACAAAAGCTATCTATATACATTAAGAGTCTATCCGTCTGTCCCTATTATTGCGTCTTTGTATCGGCGGACCTCTTGGAGACCCCGTCACTCGTGCTTTCCGTTGGTTGTTCCTTGATCACCGGCATCAGCTCGCCCACGGTTAGCTTATTGGGCAATGCCTCGGGTGTGTTTATAATACCGTAGGGTCTCAGATGATAGATCAGATAGTCCAGCACGTACATTTGATTAGGAGAGACGTAATGGAATGATATGGCATTATCCGAGCAGCAGTCAAGACCCTGGAATAAAAATAAACGATAAGTAAAGTATTTAAACTGAGACAAAGACTCATTGGATTTCGAAAAAATAACCTACCTCATCGGTTTTGTAGAAGATGTACTGCCAGTACCAGAACTTCTTGTCCGTGTGCGATGGAATCAGATGGTGCTCTGGAACAAACGGAAAGAAGCGACCTCGTCCGTTGGAGTCCCGGGAATCCCCCGCCAGAACTTTTACATTCTGCAGACACTTGCCGATCTCAACGTCCTCGGCACCTGTGTTATCCTCCTTGCACAGCTTTGGATTGGGCAGGGCTTCGACAACAAACCGACGGACTGCCTCCCGGCTGAGGACGTATCCGGCACCGCCGGACATGTAGCCCTGTTTCACGTACGGCTTGAACTTGCAGCCAAAATAGACCGGGGTCTCCGGATTGTAGGGATACAGCATGTACCGCATGTTCTCCACTATCGTGTAGGTGTCGTCGTCGGCCTTCAGAAACCAATCGGCGTCGTTGATGTGGTGCTCGTAGATATACTTGAAGGCCTCCTTTGTCTTGCCCCACAGGTTGTTTCGCCCCTCGCCCACCGGCAGAGCCACTGCGTCCAGTTCCTCGTCTTTTTCCGAGCTCATGAAGATCAGCTTGTTGCACCGCTTGCCCCAGGTGCGCTTCACATGTCGGGCCTTCTTCTGGTGGTTGCTCGGATTGGTCATGATCCAGCAGAGCACTCGCACCTCACTGTACAGTCGCTCCGCAATGGTCGAGTTCTCGTGGACGTGCTCGTGTCCGCCAACATCCTGTTCCGGCCCAGAGACCTCCATCATGTCGTGGCTGTGATGGGCGTCGTTGACATCGCCGTGCCGGTGGCCATCGTACGGCATGAATTCACTTCGTTCCGGCGTCGAGGAGTACACAAACAGCTCCGCCAGGCAGAAGCCCACGATCAGGCCCACAATAAGGGACACGAAAGAGCGCTTATTCGAGCGTCCTGTAGGTAACAAAAGTAATTATTTTATGCAACAATATTAAGTAGTAAGAAAAAAAAATCACTATTAAAATATTCTAAATAGTTCCTTAGTAATTTATAATTTAAAATCATTTCTTTCTATTCTTAAGCTAATATATGAATTTTTACGGTCGTTTCAATGCAAATATATCAAGTTAAACTATACAATTTACGGTATTGCAGATTTTTGAAATATATGGTTTATTATATATATGCTTTACTTATAATCATTTAATTGAAACCATAAATTGAGAACAACTCTGCTGATTTGGCACAACTTCGAAAATTGTTGGTATGTAACTATAGAACAATTACTTCCAATTTGCGATTATATCTGGACGTCATAAATTTTATTTGCTTTTTAATTGACAGATCATTAAAATATCTCTCTACCCACCTTCATTGAGTATGGACCTCCCAAGTAGACTGTTGGCAGTCATTTGGCTTTTGTTTTTAGTTTACTGGTATGAGGATGGAAGGAACTCAGGAACTTCAGCCTGAGGGGTGGCAAAAAGCCGATTATGAGGACTGGCAGCTTCTTTGGTTGCGTTTCTTCAGCTGGGAAATCCACCTCGTCTCTTCCTTACATTTTCTGCAATCAAAAAGAGTAAATTCCAGATTTTAGCCACGTGTATATGTAGAAAATCACATATAGCGTGTGTATTCTGCGTTTTTCGGTCCGCATCTGCACTCGGTCATTAGTGTCAACTATCTGAGCATTGAGCTGGTTCTGCTCGGATTGGCTCGCCTCCGCCCGGTTTGGTCGAACTGTGCTAATCTCATGCAAAACGTGACAATTGCCTCTGCTCGGGGTTGCATTCTGCAACAGCCGCAGCAGTCGTTGCTGATAAATATTTATTTCAGAAAGCATTTTAATTTTTTTTATATACTCTTTTTAATTTTGCACGTGGCTGAGTATGTTTTTGTTTCCTTACCGAGATAACTGCAAAACGTTGGCTTTTTGGCATACGTAAACATGGCTAAATCGTCAAGAGCCTATGCAAAGAGTTTTGCTATTTTCGAGTTTGCGTCATAAAACTAGCAGACAACATAAAGAATGTCTTCAGATCTGGGATCCTAAGAATTCTTGCCTAGTTTGCTGCGAACTGCAAATAGAAAAGCAATTACACTTTTGACACCGTAATAAAGATAATTTTGTTCGTCATGGGCTTGCTTTTGTTTCACACTTTTGATTGGTTCGGAACGAGCCTAACAAATACCAATATAATATAACTTTTTGGGGCTAGAGTCGTTGAACTAAGCACTCATTTAGTGTTAGTTGCTTAATTAATGTTAATTAATAAACTATCTTCATTAAGAAATCGTTTGCATTCTCATTTTGGATACGACGCTTAGTTGGTAAATTCTGTTTAGAAGTACCATTTAATGGAAAAAATTAAACTTTTTCTAATTAACCAGAGCTAAAAACAAAGACAAAGTTTCTTGATTGTTTTCACTTTCACTTTGGACACGTACCAGAAACAGAAAAGGGATGATTTCAATTGATCAACTTGACGTAGGAAATGTCACATCTGTTAAAACAACTAAGTCTTTGATTTGAGCATGAACACCTCTTTGTTTTATTTTACCGGAGTCATTGTTTAGCAAATCTTTTGTTTAGCACTTACTTAATAATTTTGTTTGCATGAGTAAAGCAATAATATTGGTAGTAACAATAGCGCGGAGGATGCAAAACAGCTGCGACAACCGATTGTGGCTAAAACAAATCAAAACTTGCTGCAGCTCTGAACCCGAACGACTCGACACTTCGTTAATAAATGCAGCCAGAAAACAGAAAAGCAGAGTTTTTTAAGCAATTCACAATTGCATTTTTCGCCAGTTCTCAGGTTTGTTCTGTATTGTTTTTCGCGGTAGTTTCCGCTTATCAGTTAAAATAAAGAAAAACCGAAACAAGGGGAGTTGTAAATGCATGAATGCAGATAATGGCATAGGCATTTTTGTAATTAATTTTCGGTGAATCACGTGAACTGTGTCCAATATAATGGACGGTGCTTATAGTTAAGCCACTACTTAGCGTTATCAGACAAACAATTACCTTTTATCACTAGTTTTCCTTCACTGGTTTTTCAATAACACAAAATTGTGGATCAATTTTCGCCATCACGATAGGTTTTTGTATGATCTATTAACTAAATTGCTTTTGAGGAGTTACCCTTATCAATTTTTCTATGGTACAAATAGTAATCTTATCTTAAGCTTTTTGAAGGCTTTCCTATCTATATGATCGGTGACTATTTATAACAAGGGTTTCAACTTTTTCAAGAAAGCAAAAGATAGAACACATATACACAATTTATCTTTAAAAATGTGTCGTTTTTTCCGACTCAAAAAATTGAACTTTTTTCAAGCGTTGATGAGCTTATAATGTAATATATACATATTCCCCAAAAGGATCACCAGCTAATGTCGAGTGCCTCGACTATTAGATACCCGTTACAAAGCTAACCAATTTCGAAATATGTAATACGTCTTCATAAATGTTTTTCTCCGCGTTTAAAATTGTCATTCAGACTCTGATCCAGCACATTTTTAAGGAATAAAAAAAAAGTGGCATCATATGGAGGCATAACAAAGTAACGGGTATCTTATAGTCAAGGCACTCGAAGTAAGCGTTCTTGCTTAAATTCAGACTACTCAGTCGGCCGGAGTCGTGGCTACTCTTAATACCCGTTACTCGTAGAGTAAAAGGGTATACTAGATTCGTCGGAATGTATGCGACAGCAAACCATTTCCGGCCCTATGAAGTATATATATTCTTGATCAAAATTAACCATGTCCGTGTGTCCGTCCATCCGTTTGAACGGTGAGATCTGGAAACTATAAAAGCTAGAAAGTTGGTATTTGGTATGTATTTGCTGAGCTTCTTGCGCAGCGCAAGTATGTTTCAGCAGGCTAGGTGACACTATAGGCTAGGTGGCGCTATACGCTGTTAGTGAAAATAACACATTTGTTGCAAGCATATCACCATCCCTCTGGCACACCACTTAGCTGAGTAACGGGTATCCAATAGTCGAGGCCATCGACTATAGCGTTTCCTTTTTTTATGAGTTACTTTGTCGCGTTGTACAACAACAAGTTATATTTTAGTCAGCTTCAAAAAATTAATGTACTTAATTATTTAAAAAATAAGACGTTCAAAGTTCCATAAAACAAGGTAAAACACGGACGGTACATGGGTCGAATAACCTTAAACATTGTTACCGTGGTATTTGTTTGATCAGCCGGTTGCTTTTAAGATCTCGATATTTTCATTCGACTTTATATCTCATTTTGAATTCAGTCATCAAAGTGTGAAGTGGGATAAAAAATGATATCATCCAAGATTCAGCTGCCTTTCGCCACTGCTAACGGTCTGTGGAGCTTAAAAATTGTTTCCTTTAATTATGTAACATATTTTGCCTATTTCAGTGCCACCAAGTCGACTGATTTTTACCATTCTCTTGTGCTTACTCGTGTTTTTCGGCCTGGCTAAACTCGTGTCTATTCCGCTGCGCATCGATGACTTTGATAGCTTTAGATTGAATCCGACTCAAGATGACCAATTAGGAGGTCAAGGATTTGGAAAATCTGAGATAAACCCTTGAACCCAGTAATCATCAATTGCAAATTGTTGTTTTGTGCGAATACAATTCCACCATGTGTGGGCGGGACAGAGACCTCAATGCTCACCCCACTTGGTTGGCTAAATTGCAATTGTAATTGCAAATTAATTAAATTTAGGCATGAACAACATTTCAGATCTCCAGTGCCGTTCCAATTCAATTTACAATTGCAATTACACGCAATTTTACGGCATATTTGCTTATCATTGTAGCCGACTGAGCAGATTCAACTGCATTCTGGATGCCCGATTTGCGTGGAGAGAATAGCAAACAAGAATTCACGATTCATAGCAAATATTTTATCTACAAATGTTCTAATATTAGACACATTGCCAACCTAAAATTATTCTCATGCACTGCAGCTGCCAATTGAAAAATTAGTAGTTGAACAAAAAAGAAAATTATATAATCACATGTAGTAGAGTAACACGACCGTGTATATAATTCATCCTGTCTAGCAATCTATTTTTATGTTCTATTTGATATCTACGTGATTAGTTTTATTCATACAATTTCGCTTTCGTGTAGTTATCATTGAAAATTTTAATGGGGTATTCAGATAACGAAATAGATAGTATAACCTTATAGCACAGTTGGTCGAGAAGAAACAACAAAATTTACCGTAAAAAGATAAAAAATACATTTTTGTCGGGTTGTAAAATATAAATGTGTCTTCCAGTTAAGTTGTTCAAGGCCGTGACATAAAAAGTATTATCTAACATACCTTATCTTAGATAGGAATTAATTGGACGGTCTACAGAACCAACTAACAAAATCTTGTCTTTAAGAGTGCTTAAGAATCGATAATTAACAAAAATAAATATTCATTAAAGAACTGATCAAATGAACTTAATTGCATCTTAATTATGTTTCAAATAATATAATTATACTTGTATATTGCTTTATATTAAAAGCAATTTTATTTTTAGTAACAGCTAATTTTTCCGTTGAAATTAATTTATTATTGTCCCATTCAGTTAATAGAGTTGATTTGCCCTATACTCACATTGGCGTGACAGTCCATTCATCACATTTCGAAAAAAACGAAAAGACCAAACCAGAACCAAAACCAGAAACCAAAACAATTGTAAAATTGTTTTGTTAGGCCGCTGTTCATCTGCGGTCAATAAAATCAGCCACGCTCTGCGATCCCGCACATATTTCAATTTAGTTGATGTTTTTTATTTTTGGAGCCAGTATGAACAAAGTACCCTACGATAAATGAATCGGCTCTATGGCTCTCGTTTTATTTTAATTCACTTTCAGTAACTTCCCTTTCAGATAAACAATACAGTAACTGCTCGTACAATAGATGGCTGCTGCTTATCAACATGGAACTGGACTGCGGGAATTGTTATCCAGCACAAAAAAGAAATATGGCTTGGCTGGCATCCGATTTCGAAACTCAGTTGCTTTGCTCATTCAGTGACCACATTTGTATTTATAAAAACAATTTTCTTGTTCCTTATATCAAGAACGCATTTTGATGACTAATCAATGACTAATTGTTTTACATAAAGACTAAAGGAGCGGTAATAAAATATGTACTAAGCTTATACATAGTTATCAAACTTCTAGAGTCTTAAATCTTTCAAACATGTTTTTATTACAGAAAATGAGTTTTATGAACGCCGTATAAGTCAAAAATGTCCCTTGATAGAGATTGTTATATATCTACTACGCCTGATAAGCCTGAATTCCAATTAAATGAATCGAACCATTGAATTACTTTTAAGTTTGTTCTGTTTAATCTGAAAGCATTGTCGGGTAATCATAACAACTTATTTTCCGTCACAATCAATAAAAACACTTTAGTTGAACAAAGACAGACGCAGATGATAAAAGCACTCGTTAAGCAGAAAAGTCGGAATTCGAGTTCTTAATTAAATATTGATTAAAAATCGTTGCTGGTAGATAATTAATTGCTGATCGATGAATGCGGTCTAGGTCTGTTCAGCTAATTCCTACGTCAAATGGCACGATTTGTGGAGCCATGTTTCTATAGAACAGAATTCTACAGCTTAGCCCTTGGGGGCATAAGAGCCCGTTTAGGGTTAATGGGTCATCCTATTCATATACAAATTGAACTGAAAATCAAAAAGTCAACAGACATTTCAAAAATGTAAAGGTTAAAAACAGACCGTTTTCTCTATACATGATATATTTCCAGGCACTTTTTTGCTTTAATTGAGCTTCAGAGAATATAGAATATATATAACCTTCTTACTATAAAACTAACAAGAATATAAATTGATACGACAAGCCTAGGTTTATACACCCTTGCAGATAAAACCACATCATGCAAATAAAATCATACGTATCCATGTAAATATTTATATTTCAGAATCCGTATAATCCATATATATTAGGCAGATTCGTATAAATCAAGGAAGAACGCTATAGTCGAGTACCTCGACTATCAGATACCCGTTACTCAGCTAAAGGGACCAAAGGGAAATGGAGATATGCAAATCGAGATTTAAATACGCCACCTACTGGCGGTAGACAGATTTTAGCGTTATGGGCGTTAGAGTGGGCGTGGCCAAATTTTTGTTGGATCAATCGATAGATATTGACGAGACCAATATATTTCAGTTAAAATTTTTTATCTAGCATGAAAACTGTGGCCGTCACAGGTTTGGGCGGTTTGTGGGCGTTAGAGTGGGCGTGGCAATTTTTTTTTCGGGTCACTCGATAGGTATTGATGAGAAGAATACACTTATGCTAAAATTTTTATTCTAGCATCAAAACTGTAGGAGCCACAGTTTTGGGCGGTTTGTGGGCGTTAGAGTGGGCGTGGCAGTCTACTGAAACAAACTTGCGCTGCGTAAGAAGCTCAGGAATCTGCACGCCAAATCTCAATAGCCTAGCTCTCATAGTTTCCGAGATCTCAGCGTTCATCCGGACAGACGGACAGACGGACATGGCTAGATCGACTCGGCTAGTGATCCTGATCAAGAATATATATACTTTATGGGGTCGGAAACGCTTCCTTCTGCCTGTTACATACTTTCCGACGAATCTAGTATACCCTTTTACTCTACGAGTAACGGGTATAAAAACGCACGGATAGTTTCTATGAAAGCTTTATGACATTGTCGGCTGATTGTAATTACAAATTTAAATTGTATTGCAGCAATTCAAAAACAGTTTAATTATAAATTTTGAAATACTACTAATACTAGCTTTAGAGAACAGAAAAATATTTCCAAAAACAACAAAACTACAATTTGTGTTCTATTGGAACAGAAAAATATTTCCAAAAACAACAAAACTACAATTTGTGTTCTATTATTTTTCCGATCGTTCCAATGTTAGCTATGCGATAATGATCAATGTACATAGTTATCCGATAAGGTACGTTCTGACTTGTATACTACCTGAAAGAGAAGGACCTTTTGGAAAAGTTGTATTATAAAAGCTTTAGAGCGTAGGAACGGACAGACGATCGACTTGGCTATCACTGTGGACGGCAGTCCACGTAGTGACGAAACGCAAGGGACTTGGGAGTCTTCTCAAAATGAACATTTTATTCTTTTTGTCAGTTTGTGTATTCAACCAAAATCGATTTTTCTGCGTCCTCCAATTTTTAGATGGAGTCAATAAGCTGCATAAAATAAACTTTAAATTTACATCAACACAGCTATAAGTAGTTAAACGCCCTCGACTATCAGATACCCCTTACTCAGCTAAAGGGACCAAAGGGAAATGGAGATATGCAAGCAGCAAAGCGAGATTAAAACGCGCCACTTACCGGCGGTAAACAGAATTAAGCGTTATGGGCGTTAGAGTGGGCGTGGCAATTTTTTTTTGATCAATCGATAGGTATTGACGAGACCAATACATTTCAGTTAAAATTTTTTATCTAGTATGGAAATTGTGGGCGTCACAGGTTTTCGCGGTTTGTGGGCGGTTTTTGGGTCAATCGATAGGTATTGATGAGAACAATAATTTTAAGTTAAAATTTTTATTCTAGCATCAAAACTGTAGGAGCCACCGTTTTGGGCGGTTTGTGGGCTTTAGAGAGTGCGCAAACTTGCGCTGCGTAAGAAGCTCAGGAATCTGCACGCCAAATCTCAATAGCCTAGCTCCCATAGTTTCCGAGATCTCAGCATTCATCCGGACAGACAGGCAGACGGACAGACGGACATGGCTAGATCGACTCGGCTAGTGATCCTGATCAAGAATATATATACTTTATGGGGTCGGAAACGCTTCATAATGCCTGTTACATACTTTCCGACGAATCTAGTATACCCTTTTACTCTTCGAGTAACGGGTATAACTATCTGTCAAATTTAAGCTAAATGGTATGTAGTCATAAAAGTGGATTTCAGAACGTTTGTATGTGAAAGGTGCGGTCGTCACTAGTTTTTTTGCCTCGTTAATAGTTTTTTCTTTCACTGATGCTGATCAAGTGTATATACATACATATACTTATATATTACTGACTGACCATAATAGTGACTGATACCCTCCGCAGGGGAATACAAAATAAATCGTATGCTCACGACTCAAAGATAGTTTTCAAGCCTTTTGAAGAAAAAAAACCTCTCTTGACAGTTTAATTCACTGTTTTATCATCAAGTTTGCCTATCTTAAAGTGTTTTTAAATATGTACATACATTGTACATTTGTGTGAGTACGTACATATCTTCCAGGAAATATAAAGTAATATAAATGTGAATTCTTTTTTGAATTATGAGATGTTGATATCAACTTAGCAGGCACTCCCATGATTCAAACATCGAAAATAGTTTCTTCTGGGATCTTATGACATTCGGTTTCTCTTGCGTTAAGTGATTACTTTTGTATTTTTGATTGCATTAACTTTTATGTGTTAACTTCATTTTGTTGTTCTGTAGTTCGACTGTTTTTCATCTCGACACACCCTATGCGAAGACCAGAAGTCTGCAGCGTAAGTACAAACACCCGCTTTCCTTATCAGTTGCAGTTGAATTTGAATGGCAATCGCGGGGTGCAATCTGCATACGAATTATCCCAGCAACAACTGCAATAAGAGGGGGCTAATCGGAGAGGCGACAAGTACAGACGCAATCGCATGTGCTGCTCTCTCACGAGATAAAGAGAGGGAGAATTGGAACCACAAATAAATTAAAGTAAATGCACTTTGGTAGCAGGCAGTTCACCCCCCGGGCGACCAGGGCGCATAACGGAAATGACAGCGAAGAGCGCGAGAAGAGAGGAAAGTGCAGCTGCTGGGGGATTGTCATCGCATTAAAAATAACAACAACTAACAGGACACGACACCACGAATTCGAAAGACGCTTCTCTCTTATCAGCGTTCTCATCAATAAGTACTATTAATAGGTACTAAAATAAGACATTTAATCACATTGTTAATAACATAATATTTTTTGCCTTTGCAATTATTGAAAAATTTAACGTCAAATTAGAATCAGATGTGTTTTAAATAGTTTTATGGTGTCAATTTTTCAGATACTTTTACATCCAAAGAAGCTTAAACATATTTAAATATTTTTCTGTGGACTGTATTACTAAATCTAACAACTTGAAGATGCAATAAAGCACAAATTTATGGTAGAATAATCTGAATAAAAAATTACTAAAATTGTTTCAGGCTTGTTTCACTCTATTTAGTCAGTACACATATAACTTGGCGGCATAAACGAGTGCCCTACAGCAAAGGGGCTTAGAAAGTTGGAGCGGCCGAACTGGAAGAAAGGGCCTGGCCCCCAGTTCCTTCTGCTCGTTCAGTTGCTGTTCCATTCCATTCCATCCAGTTGGAAACCAATATATACATATATGTTTTTGGCGTTACTCGTCGTTTAAACTTGTTCGTTTTCATTGTTTTGTTTTTATTCGCACTCTTCACCTTCCTGGCACGTTGTTCTTGCCCTTTGATGTACATACGAATTCGTTGGGCTTTTTGTTTTGACACAAAATGCAATTTGTGCTGACCAAATCGGTTTGAGCAGCAGGTAAATGCCACTAGCCCTTCGTTTTGGTTGCTTTAACTGCATCTTTGCCGCGGCGTCCGTTTACTTACGAATTGATTTTTTGCACAATTCCTCACGCGTTTCTCAATCGCAGGACGCTCCCAGAAAGCCTTTGTTGAGTGACGACGGCTTGTTTTCACTCTCACGTTTGGCACATTCACTTAATTGCTGCGTTAGCCGAGGCACTCAAAATATTTAATTAAACCTATTTCCGCCCCCTTTTTCCTTTTTTCCAAACGAGCGACCGGAGCACGGAGCAAACTCGACGACAAACAAATAAAAACTGCCGCGAATTCTGACTGAGCGATTGGACACCCTCATGATGGGAGCTCTCTGCTGTTGCTGTTGTTGCCCTGGTGGTGGAGCGCCATGAGCTCTTCCACTCTCTTTTTCTCTTCTCACCACTCATTTTTGGGCGGGGGCGGGGGGTGGTGAGGGTGTTTTGTTTCCACAGGTGTAGGATCTTACTCGAAAGGCCCTGAAGAGGTACGCGGCCTCAATCCTGGGAATCCCGGCGATCCGATTGGCTCTATGTCCGCCGCAAGGTAGCCAGTTCCGGCATAGGGAGCAGTGAGGAACCCTCTTGCATGAAGGGATGATAGGATGATAGCGATGTGTGGGCGATCCAAAAACAGAGTACCAGGGGCGAGAAAGCCTTCATGGGAAAGGCGGTGTCTGACCCACATCCTCGCCAGCCAGCATGCACTCCATGGCCTGGAGGACATCGCCGCGGAATCATCATCAATATAAGTGCATATATGCATATACTGCATCAATTGCTCCACATCGCTGGCGCCGGCGATTGGGGAAACCCTCATGATGGGAGATCTCTGCTGTTGCCTGGTGGTGGCGGCGGCGGGCGGCCCGGGCCAGAACTAAACTGACTAACTGCGTGTGAATGGATGGAGGCATGGAGCCGCAGCAAGTGTAGATTTTCGGCGGGCTGTCCTCCTTAGGCTGAGATTCTCGTGTCCTCATCCGGCCCGAATCCACATGGACTCCGGTGAGCTGGGCGGTCCTGCCTGCTGCGCGGCAGATTGAATTGAAAACCCTCGATCGGCAGGCTCCACTTTGGACACTTTGGATTAAGGATACAAGTTAGTTCATCAGCCAAAAACAAATAGTACATACTCTCTAGTTCCAGAAAATAATTAATAATAATAATAATTAATAATTAATTATCAAATAAAGTTCTTCATTCAAATTTTACAAATTTTACAAATTTTACAAAAACAACAAAAACAAAATCAAAACAAAACAGCAAAGAGAGGCAAGACTACGTAAGAAAACGTAAGTGTCGGCAAAACGTAAGTGTCAGTAAAAAAGGGAGACAGCCTCAGCGTAAGTGGCGTAAGTGTCAGTGAAAAAGGGAGATGCAAGATGCGAACGTAGTGTCGGCAAAACGCAAGGCAACGTAAGTGTCAGTAAAAAAGGGAGATAGCCTCAGCGTAAGTGTCAGTAAAAAAGGGAGATGCAAGATGGAGAGCAAGAGCGAAACGCGACAAACAAATAAAAACTGCCGCGAATTCTAATCGGAATCAAGGGAGAGTGCCAAAAAGCATTGAGAGCATTAAGAGCTAAGAGTTCTTTCACTCTCTCTTTCTCTTCTCACCACTCATTTTTGGGCGGGGGGTGGTGAGGGCGTGATGACAAAATTGCCGGCGGTTTCTCTTAGGAGCCGGCTGAAGCTTTTTGCGGAGAGCGACAGTAAGAGCGCTCTCAAAGTAGCTGATAATAAAAACTACTGTTATATGTTAAGATTGTAAGTGAATAGTTGAATTGTACACATTACGATCTGACTTTTGATTTATTAATCGCTTATCTTTATCATCACCCGCTCTTTGACTCTTTATACGTTGCAAAACAGCTGTTGGGAAATACACATTACCTAGGCTAAGGGTTTGTTTGTAAGGGATGAAATTTTCAAGATGGATTTCTCTTAAAATGTAACTCTAAAATTCTGAGGATAGACTTTTTAGATGACTTATCTTTAAATTTTCCGCCGTGAAAATACTTTTAAAAGAGCCTATCCTAAACTTGAGTTTCAGATTAATATGCGATCGTCGAATACGTCGTGTATAAAAATTTCAAACTATTATAAGCTTACTACGAAAAACATGTTTTTTTTTTATTTATTTATTTATAAAGAGCTTACAAATAATTAAAATTAAGAGCTAGCAATGATATTGAGCAATGGCGACGTGGGCCTTCAGCTCGAATTGTACATAATATTATTTTTTAGGGTTTTTTATAGGTATTTATTTCTATTGTTAAGCTTAGGTAGAGTCATCCTAAATGCGGTGGTATACATTTGTGTTTTTTAGAAATTGTACAATTTTTGATATGTTTGGTGGTGTGGGATTGGACAGTGATTCTAGTGGGTTGGTGTTATTAAATAATTGTTGTCTTTGGATGTTTAGCCCGTTGCAAGTGGAGAGTAAGTGTCTTATTGATACAATGTCGCTGCAGAATGGGCAGGTATTGGTATGGTTTGGATCGATGTAGTGTGTGTGGGTTATTTTGGTGTGTCCAAGTCTGAGCCTTGTTATTTTTATCTGGTCTAAACGTGAGATGGATGCGTGGTTGTTCTTTGTGATGTGGTAGTTATTGAGTTGGAGTTGGTTAATTGACTGGTACCAGGCTGATGTCTTCGTTATGAATGATAGTGTTTTGGCTTGGTGTGTGTTTCTTATTCAGTCTGTATATACAGAAATCTACAGTTCTACAAAGTCGAACTTGAATAACTCCACGCCACTTGTCTTTTCCAAGGAAATTTTTTGTAGTGTATGTATTGCCTTTTAAATTAGGTAATCTTTTTCGTGAATTCCACGATTTGTCAATTCTTATGAACTCGTATAGTATGAAATTAACATATACAAACAAGAAAAAAGTAACCGAGTTGAAATGAATCACTGAGGAGGTTAGCACTCGCATGAGTAAAGATTTTACTGTACACAACTTTGACTGTACTTTCTAACTGTGTAATCGTTGACCTTTCAAGAACATATTAATTGTTCTTATTGGACAGTAATTAAACAAGTTAAAGCGCTAACTCGTTAAGAAATGTTTTTGTTTGATTCGGTATCTTCATTAACAACCGGCTTCTGTGATGCTTTGAAGTCTTTAATATTTGTCATAATGTGAACCAAACCGCATTAGTCATAATGTTTCAAATATAATGACTACTTGTATAATGTCATGTTGTTGAATTTAAACTTCAGAATCACTATCGGCAAATTGACAAAGAGTGTTAGACAGCTTTATATTTTTGTTGAATGTGCAGTTGCGTGTTTCAAATAATTGCTTGCTATCGATCATTTCAGATAAGATATTAGGTGCAAAAGTTCTCTTGTACACACCAGTATTACAAATAAGATAAGGCAGAATTCGAACTTTTAATTAGTCCTACACATATCGGCGTTCTGTGGCGCTCGAGTTAACTGGAGATGTTCTACATTTTACTTTTAAACTTTTATTTTATTTCGTGGGAAGATTGGAAATACAAGAGAGAACGCTCTAGTCGAATGCCTCGCCTATGGTCACTTATCTAACCAATTCAACTTATTTATTGTTATATAAAATATTGGGTATAATAACTATGTTTATAAGAGTTCATTCATACACATGTACGTATGTACATATGTACGGTATTGACTAACTTTGACGTCAAAATAGTTTGGTTGTTAGTTAATCATAACTTTTAAAATAATAATATCCCAACTGGCAAATCATGTAGATGGGTAAGTGGGCATGGCACTCAATTGAAACAAATTTTGCGCTACGTAAGAAGCGCTACCAGCTGTATTCCTAATTATACGGACATGTTGGAAACGCTGTTACATACTTTTCGACGAATAAAATATACCCTTTTACCCTTCAAGACACGGGTATAAAAACAATTATAAAATACCTTTCCTTGTTTTAAATTTTACGTATATCTTACATTCTTTTTGTACAATTCTACAACGTATAATGTAGATCAGTCGATGTAGCCACCTTCATTTCGTAGACGCCAGCTTCTGTTCGTCGATGCCTTTGGCAATATTTTACATACAAAACGGGTTTTTCTTTTGTTCTCCCAAAATGCTTTTATAAAAAATGCTGTTGATTACTGTTAGTTATTTATTTATTTTATTTAGTTTACTTTAATCCAAGGCACTTTGTATGCGCTTCTCAATTCAGCGCAATAAACAAAAAACTAAAATAAAAATATTACTTCATTTCTGATGACAATGTTATTTTCCATTAATTTACTGTGACAACTGTAGGCATAAACTTTGTGTAAATATTTGCATTACTCCCGTGGCCAAGTTAGAAAATAAAATAACAAGTCACACACAAAGTAGGGGTAAATAAGCATTGCCTGCTTGACTTGTGTGTGTGAATTAATCTAAAATAACTAGAATCAACAAAATGTCCTCTGCCCTGAAATTAGAGCCAATGGAAAAAATTCTGACAATGATTGCGCAATGTCTGCATTAAAAAAAGGGAAAACTCAATTGAATGAAAGCGTAATATTACTAAAAAAATATAAACGAAAAATAAGAATTTAATTTTCCTTTTATTTTGCTTTTTTAAAGGAACGATTTAAAGCTCAGCTAGCTCGTATTCTATGAAATATATGAAATACAATTTATTAATAGTGTTAATAAGTACCGCATTCCTCCCTTAAAATTACATGTATCTACAATTATTTGTACACAATACAATTATACATTTTTTCTTACACTACTAAAATAATTCAGTATTTGTAGACTTTGAAATGCTTGCGTCTTATGCTATTATAAACTAAGATATTGATAATGAATTGTTCAGACTGTTCATTCCGTGTGTATAATCGATATTGGATATACCATGGCTACTAGAAAAGCTCTCGTTTTGGGGTCGGCCATTACGTTACCACACTCACATGCGAGTATATCACCCAGTAGTTACCTCACTAAAAATATCACAATATTACATTTATATTATTGGATTTAAGAGGACTACAGAAAGGAACAGCACAGGATCAGGACTAGCACCGTGATGGGGAATATGGCGTATATCTCGCTGCGCGGATGACAGGTGGAGATCAAGTTGGTTATATCGTCCGCCTCGTGCTCGATTCCATCCCTTGTAGGCACCTCGACCACCACGATCTCGTCCGAGAGGAAACTTATATTGAAAGTGCAGTTTGTGGTATTAAGACAGCTCTGCGATTCGCTCATGTTCGAGTACTGATACGTTGGCTTGTAAATATCGAATATGGCGTGTATCTCATTTTGCACATGGTCGTTGTCACTGTAGAATATATAGTAGTAGTAACCATCCTCGATCACATTGTGCACCACCATAGAACTCTTGTTGGGAGAACTGTCCATTATATGCGGGTTTGAGCACTCATTTTTTGGCTTAAAGAACTCCTGCAGAAGAATCATTCCATTAAAGCACTGAAATAGTCCTGTCTCAAAGCTGGATACCGAATTGGACTCATCGGTTTCCGTAAAGTTGATGGCATTTCCGCCGTGGATGGTCTTCCTATCGTACACGTTCTCCCTTTTTGATCTTTTATAGAGTTTGTCGTAGAGATCCTGCCTCTTCTGATGTCTATGGGTTCCTCCGTTGTGTCGTTTTAGGCGTTCGCGATGGGGCGCATTATCTGAGTTATGATAAGACTCACTCGAATTGTGAACTGGATGATTCTCGTCTTGATGGTGTTCGGAATTGTGTCTACTTTCATCATCTTGATGTTGGGGAATACCATTTAAAGACTGATTTTGAGGGTGTGCATGCGGATTTGAATTGTGATCACGGTGATTTAATATGTGTTCTGTGTGATGAGATCCCTGCAAATCCGCAACTGTATGCAGGTCGGGGTCACTGTGATGAATTGTTCCCTTCTTAAGTTTCTTTCTAAGCAGTTTTGGCTGGGTCGATACGCTTTCTTTGAGTGGTATATTTAACTGTGGCTGTGAGGCATCCTCACTCAAGTCCTCTCCACCATGATTTTCATGCTCCATTAAAATATCCTGATTGCCCTTCTCCTCCACGATCTCTACGTTGTCTTCGAAGAACACCTGGACCTGTTCATGTCCCTTGGCATAATTGGCGCCCAGCTTGTTTTTATTGTGATCGGTAAGACCGCAAAGATTTAGTTCCCTGTGGCCATGGATGATCAAAATTCGCGATCCATCGAAGCGTGAACAGAACTTCACTCGCACCTTGGCCCCTTTTAGCAAGAAGAAGCCCCAGTATTCCAGGGTATCGTCCGGCAGTGTCATAGACTTCTTCAGCCTTATGTGCTTGCGATTCGTCGCGATCTCCGGCTTATTACGAAGTTGAAAAGCGTTGAAATTGGAGTTCATTCGCAGGGTGTGTTTCGAACAGAAGACCGACGAGATTCCCGCCCGAATCTCAATGATATCGGACTCCGCCATGGGATAGATGACATCCGCAAACACCGTCTTTCGCAGATGCAGTGGCATAATGATAAGTATGGCCGGCAGTATAACAATCATCAGGCAGAAGATCAGCACCCTCTTTACTCCGTGCATTTTGCGGGTTTCTGCGAAAATAAATGGAAGAAAGATAAAGATTACTATCTCGTGAGTAAACATTTCTGTATATATTTTATATGGCCTGACGGGGCACCTTCAAAGTGATATTCCGTTAAGGGCTGCATCTTGGCGACTCAAGATTTCCTTTTTGCTGTGAAATAATTTTTCTGCGACTACGTCTGATTCCCAACCAGGTTTGTTGAACACTGTCTGATTGTGCGATTATCAAATTAGTCTGGGCGACTGGGACCGGCATATTTTCACGCCTCCCCCTCCTTAGCTGAGTATTTGTGAGAGGCGAGATTGTATCAACAGTCCGACACGATTATTGATATTGGCCGGGTGTATAACTAAGCTATTCACAAGATTCAATTGGCAGGCTCAGATCGATGGCCAGCCAAGTGACAGCCGATGTTTGATCGATGTTTAGCGACCCACGACTCCAGATCACTCTGTCAAACTACTTTGTTTTGCAAAGATTTTCTTGTCGTTGTTAACATGGCAATGCTTATAACAGGAGCGGATTTTTAAGTACTGTGGTAATTACCAACATTAATTTAACTACCATTTTTTAATAAGTAAGGAAGGTATATTCTCACTAAGAGTCATACATAAATGCCGTCTATACTGAGGACCATTATTTAAAAAGAGATTTTATAGATCGAGATAAGAAAGAAAACAAGTCAGAACGCTATAGTCGATGGCCTCGACTATCAGATACCCTTTACACAGCTAAATGGAGTGCGAGGAAATCGGAGATGTGCAAGCATTAAAGCGACTGCTCCCAAGATTGTACACCATTAAACTTTTATTTGATTTAAACGTTTTAATCGATGGCTCGATAAATTGTAGATTATAGATAATTAAAACAAAATCCATTTACACTTTACAAAAAAATCAAAAATGTGGGCGCCAGTCAGCTTTAAGGTGTTAAAGGGCGTGGCACTCTGCTGAAATAAACTAGCGCTGCTCAAGAATCTCTAGAATCAGCAAGGCTAATTCAAACTTTCTAGCTTTTATTGTTTCCGAGATCTCAGCATTCATAGGATGGACGGATGGACGGATATGATCGACTTGGTTTGTGATACATACTTTATAGTGTTGGTAACGCTTCCTTCTACCTGTTACATATTTTTCGACGAATCTAATATACCCCTTTACTCTTCAAGTAACGGGTATAAATATTTTATAATATAAGTGTCTATGTGGCCACTGGCCCTGTTTGTGTAGAAAGGGGCGGGAGTTCTACACCACTTTGCTATTTTTATGATCACAGTCCATTTCATACATCTTTTCGCCAAAAACGTACCGATAGGGGTAAGGCAGCCATATGTCTTCGGTGGTATTATTTGTTCAATTTTTCTATTTGCTTAGTTTTCTCTCCAACCCGCAAGATTACGCATATTTTTCAAGTACCTTATCAGGCGGCTAAGGTAATTACCGGCCTATTGATGCCAACTTTGATAAGCACTATTTTGCCCTCATGGAAATGATTTTAATACCAGTCGGGTCTTATCAACGTGAGCGAGTGAGTTGTGATCAGAAAAATGTGACACAAATATAGTATTTATGGCGCACACGATTGTTTTTTGCTGGCACGTTTTTGTCGAGTGCTCTTTGAAAATGTGCTCCGAGCTAAAAAAACAACATTATAAACGAATTTCGCTGCTCTCTGATTATCAACGATATGTACATGTTATGTACGGACTGTAGGAGAACGTTAAAGAATAAATGCAAAATCCTACAAGTTAAACGATTGAAAGATAAATAAATCTTGAGTTAAAATAAACCGTATTGATAAATCAATGGAAATCACTTACTTAGAACAAAGAGCAAAATAATAAAAGGTATTTAACTAAAACAATTAACCGTTATTTTATAATTATAAATTTATGTGGCCCAAGTTTACAGAGTTGGAATTATTATTCCATCTTCGAAAATAAATTATAGTAGCTTACATTTAATGTCATAGATAAGACCTCAATAAATGAACTTAGCTTTTATAGACTATAGATTATTTTATTCTAATAAAAATTTAAGTTAAATTTTACTAGCTACTTCTGCCCTACTTTCTGTTATCTGTAATAGTATCAGAACATATGGTTGTCGCTAACCCCTAAACTGATACTACTTAGTAAGATTTCTTTCTTTCCATTTTTTAATACAATTGCGGGTTTTTCTTTTCCTTTGTCAGATTTTTCCGGTATTTCCCACGACAAAGACATTACACTGCGGCTCAAAAAAATGATATAGGTCGCGTATTATTGGGACTTTGTTTACATTGTTTTTTCAATTTTGACAATGCTCTATTTCATTGCCGTTTCTTAGGTGTCAAAAAAAACTTGTTATGAACACACTGAAACAAATTTAAAGGGAATTATAAATTTTTTCTTTTTTCACCTAAACGATCATTTTCAAAATATGTAAGTTATAACATTTTTTTTATAAAATTTTAATTAAATATCAACCAATTTTTGTACGCATTAAAAAATATAGGTTTTTGTTTTTCTGTAGTGGTAGTAGTATCTGATCAGGTTTTTATCTGGTTTCAAAAAGCAGCAGAAGTATGCATATGAAAAATGTATCTAATCCGCTGAAAGCACCTGTGGAAATGTTATTCTGGTTGGGTTTAAGTTTACACACGTAGTTTTGAGCAGTGACTCTTGCTTGGACTGTTGGCACTTACATTCTTAGCGTTTCTGTATATGTTCTGTGTTTGCACTGTATCTTTGGGATTAGCGTCGACTCGAAAGGTGTTGACAAGTGCAATACTGTTTTAATTTCACAGGCAGTTGTCGATTTGTCTTTTCATTTGTTTGTTTTTCTATTTTTTGTCTAACAACTAAGTGGCTGAGGTGAGCATATATCCAAAATTAGACGGATGCATGTGGATGAATATGCTATTTCGTATTTAGGAGACCCGAATCACACGTGCCGATTCCCATGGTTTATTATCAAAAACAACTGACTTTTATTTTGACACACATTTCAATCAACAACTTGCTGTCTTCTCTTTCTCTGGCTCTTATCGCGACGACGCTCTCCCTCTTCCTCTCTTTTATTTAGCACATTGTTTTTAGCTTCCGCATATCTTTGTTTGTTTTTGAGACACGTCGTGTAATATTTATAAATTAGGGGGCTCTTTTAACTGTACTTTCCGGCATTTCCCCGTCGTTTTGTAATTTTTTAAGTATTTATCAACCATTATTATTACGACATTTTCACTCGACTCGACAGAGGGAAAACAAAAGGCTTCAATTCACTCCCAAAGGCGCCCATCAAATGAGTTGGACTGAATGGAAATTTTAACCCCAAAGAAATATAGACGACGCGATAGCGCAATGCAATGCTCTCTCGGCGCTCTTTGTTTTAGGTGCACTGCAAACAACCGGCTGTAGTTCCGGAAAGTTCCGATTTCTAAGCTTGTTCAAATTTTCAAGATACATGTAGGTAGGTATTTAGGGGCCTTGCCTTAAAAAATTAGTTTTGACTATTATCTGCCATACTCTTTCTTTAAGCGCTTACTTGAAAATGTAAAATATTTCTGGAAGTATCTTAAAAAATCTATGCTTTCCAAAAGATTATCTGAAAATCAGAAAATGAATAATTTATTTTTTAAGGTTCGTAAAAATTAAACCTAATAAAAATAATTCCTAAAAAATTAAAAAAAATCATAGAAAAACTGATTTTTAGAACCAATTATTTTAATGAAAAAAAAAAACAGACAAAGTTTTTTTTGTCCCGTATAACATTAACAAATAATTAAAAAAACTTTAATTCAATTGAAAATATATACTAATGATAAAAATTTTAATGTGTGGTAAACATTTTTTCCAGTGTCCACTCTCAGTTTTCACAGTATGCGTGAGAAGAGAAAAATACTGCTCGGAAAAATCTTCGTTTTGTCAAAATATTTTAAGAGAAATAAATTGTGTTTTGAAGTTAAGTTATCTGCGCTGAGAATTTGGTGGAAAACTTGGCTAAATTGGGTTTTTGCTTGCAGATTATAAATATATTACATTAGATGGGCGATCAACTATATCAACCAAGAATACCTAAATATAAATCTCCTGTGCTCACTTAATACCCAAATATAATTGAAATATGAAAAATTAGACAGCCCAATAATTTTTATTTCTTGCAAAGAGAAGTGGCATTGATACGATATTTTGAAGAAGAAGCCCTGATATAAACATAAAGTATATATATTCTTGATCAGGATCACTAGCCGAGTCGATCTAGTCATATCCGTATGTATATACGGAATGAATGAATAAAAATTTTAACTGAAATGTATTGTTCTCATCAATACCTATCGATTGACCTAAAAAAAAGTTTGCCACGCCCACTTCAACGCCCACAAACCGCCCAAGCCTGTGACGCCCACAATTGTCATGCTAGATAAAAAATTTTAACTGAAATGTATTGGTCTCGTCAATACCTATCGATTGATCCAAAAAAAATTTGCCACGCCCACTCGAACGGCCATAACGCTTAAATCTGTAAACCGCCGGTAGGTGGCGCATTTTAATCTCGCTTTGCTGCTTGCTTGTCTCCATTTAGCTGAGTAACGGGTATCTGATAGTCGAGGTACTCGACTAAAGCGTTCTTCCTTGTTTTTAAAATATAATATTTTTAGGAGAAGTAAAATGCTGCGACGAGCACAAAATTAGTATTGTTCTGTGACATTTTCGGACCCTGCTCTTAGCATATGTGTCACAAAATACATTTTTAACTGATATTTTTTTAATTTTTACTGTACCTAATTTTTAGTTACGTACTTCTTTAAATATTTGAACATGCATTTATATAAAATGGATTTCGAGTTTGTGTAGAAGTAGATTTAACTCTTATCCAAGTTTCTCTAATACTTACTGTGCAAATCCGGCATTGAGTAGTAAAAATCCGTGTGATAATAATGCAGTTGTCCAGGACTGATTGACGTTGTCCTGCTGAACATCTTTTTGTTGGCCATAGTGGATATTTAGTTGGAGCCAGAGTAGACCCGAAGCAAGTGAAATATCGCAGCGAACTAACGGAATGAATTTAATCCGAATCGTGCGGGAGTCAACGTCAACTGTGGACAGTGTTTGGGATAACGATGACGCTTAATCCAAACAGACGTCGGGGGTGCCGTCCTCATCTGAACTGATACTGATACTGATAGTCGCTGTCGGCCTATTATCATAATGAATTAGTAAACAATGGTAATAAGTAGACAGAACATAAACCCAGCCCAAGTTTTTCAATTGATAAGCAACTAATTGTGATTGTTTGTCAGACTCGAAGCCCTGGCTTTGAACCTAGGCATACGTGTATATATCAATATATCTGACAAAATTATTTACTCTTGGAAACAGTGGTATATTTAGCACACTGGAAAAGCTTCACGTGATTGATTGGTTATTTAATATCTGAACTGTCATAATTTCTACGACAATCTCCAGTTCCGGTGAGAAAACCAATTGGGGAAATTATTAAATGGCCCAATTTCCGGTAAGTAAAAGCAAAGAGGACTAGAAGTGTAACTTTAACAAGGGCATGGTACATATATAGAGTTACAAGGTGCACGAATAGTTTTTATCACGAACATAAGTCAATAAACAAAGTAATTTACTAAAACATTTGTTTATTGCCTTATATAAATTATATTCTTTTGGTATCTGGAACGTTTTTCAGTGCTTGCTACCTATCAGATATTCAAACATGTAGGTAATGGCTGTTGGCGTCATCATCAAACAAAGATAAAACTATTCCTTGTCGCACCCACCTCAATATCTCCGACTTAAAAATTCTAGACATCAAATAAATTAAGGATTTATGGCACTGTTTATCTTATCTACTGCAAAATATTGTATTATCAAGGTGGAAAGTTTTGCATTTAGACTGCAGGCCAAGTTAAGCATTGGATTAATTGAGTGTACTGCGATCAAGCAGTTGTAATATATGAAAATTTGTAGATTGTCACATAATTATTAAGCTGACACCTCCACTCCTTATACAATTACGTTATTACACCCGTTACATGTAGAGTAAAATGCTATATTAGATTCGTCGGAAAGTAAGTAACAGGTAGAAAGAAGCGTAGAACTTTAAAAGCTAGAAGGTTGGGACCTGCAGATTCTTCCGCTTCCTGCACGGCACAACTTTGTTTCAGCAGGGTGCCACGCCCACTCTAACGCCCACAAACGGCTTTAACACTAAAACACGTCTAGCCCCCACATTTTTTAATATTCGGTAAAAATTTAAAAACGATTTAGTTCCTATTATCAATAACCTTCTACATGGCAACAACTAACGTAACGTTTATCTGATAGTCGAGGCCGACGACTATATAGTCTTCTCTTGTTCTAAGTGAATAAGACGCTCGTTCTTGAATAAAGAATAAAATGCTTTAACCCCAAATTATCTGAAAATGTCCTTGATTCAGCAACATTAATCAATAAATTGGACAAAACCAGTACGATTGCTACTAAACCTAAGAATAATATATTCAACAAAAAATTTTTCCTTGGTAAGCACAAACGTTGTTAGATTAATCACTAAAATAACTTTATTTTCTAAAAAGCAAAGAAAATCGGACTATATTTGTACAAATAATTTAATAAAATTTTCATTCCATAGCAAATTTAAAAGATTTTTAAAAATATTCAATTTTATTTTTACAATTCAGACTTGGCTAAAAAAAAATCGTACTTAATTTAAGCACAATAAATTCTACAACTAAGAAGAATACTTACATACTTAATTTAAGAACCAAAATTCTTCAACCACGAAAAATAGGTTTACCGAAAATGTTTGCTGCATTAAGATTAAATGAATGCGGTTTTTTAATTTTTTTATTTTTGATCATTCTTATGGAAGCCCATGACATGACTTTATTTATTTTTCTAAATAAATTTCTTCCCCTTCATAGTAAGCCCCTCCAAATAAATTCCCCTTATGCCAACGTTTTTTCCAATCCTCGAAACATGCCAAATATTCACTTCCCGGTATAGCCATCAACGCCTTCTTATATCTCCTTATCGTGATGCACAAACCAAGATTTGCTGTTGCCTATGATACGAATAACCCTCAAATAATATTCCTTATTAACAGTTTAGCCTGGTGGAATGAGGTCATAGTGCTCAACACCACGAAAAAAAAACTTAACTTTCTTTTTAATTTAAAAACAAGTTTTATTTTTTAGAATTAACGGAAAAAATATTTTTTTTTAAATATTATAAGTCTTACAATAAGCTTTCCAAAGAGAACTTTCTTCGTTATTTTCTAAATACGTCCAAGTTATAATAGGATAAATAAAACACGGTATACATAATAATAATCTGATAACCATAACGTCATCGTTTTTTTTAAAGGGAAAAGGTCATTCAATATGAGAAATCTTATCCGCTTTTCTATCTTTTACGGTTTTTTAGTGATTTATGCTTTGGCACGTGATGGGCATTTTACACCATAAATATTATTTTTCTACTTGTTTTAAATTGTATTATAAAGCAAATACGTGCTGAAATTAAATTGGACAATGGTTACTCACATAAGCTGTTAAGTCGGCAAAGTTAATTTTTAGTTTTGTATACCTTACCCTTAGATTAAAAGCGCTTTTCCGACCCTATAAAGTATATTTTTGATCATGATGTCCGTCTGTCTGTCGTCTGTCCGTCCGTATGAACGCTGAGAAAGCTAACAGCAGACCTCTACTCCTCAACTCCGTTATAATTAAAATAGTCTAAATGTAGGGAGAGCTGGACTTCATTTCTGGCATAACACACCTATACGGAGATAGTTTCAATATCTTCGTTGATTTCTGGCTGCATGTCTGGTAGTTCATATAAGCTCTCATCTACTTTTTTCTTCTTCGGCTTAGTACGTTTCTGAACTTCTTTCTTCGTTTTCTTTATTTTGTTCTGTTTCTCTTTGGCATTGTCCTTTGTTTGCGAAGTACTTTTTACTATTCGGCTCTCGCAAATACAGAACTTCCTGCCTCGTATTCGTCGCATGCAATTGGAATCATTTTGGTAGTGATTCAACCGATTTACGGACTCTACATTTATGTATTCCAAAACTTGGTGCTTGTGATTGTAGCGCGTAGTGGCTGAGAACCTTGGGTTATTCGGGCTGGCAGTGAATTGCACTCGATAGGTGCTGCCACCTGACAAATTTTTGTCCTTTCGTTGTTGAACCGTTTTGACCGATTTCAATGTGAGATTGGAGCAGAGCTCCTGCAAATTGTAATGGTGCAGGAATTCGTTGATGCTACGGACGAGTAGCTTTCCCAAGGACAATTGCTTAATCTGCTTGACGTAAAGCAGCTTGTAGCTATCACACGGACAGTGTGATTCCCCTATTCCGGCATCCGAACAAGTACGATTCTCGGGGACTGGAGCAAAGAGAGTCTGGCAGGTGGGACAATCCACTAGCTTGTCCACCACTCGAGGCCAACGTTCCCCCAGCTCCAAAAGGTGCTGCAGTGTGAGATGAAGGTCGTATGGGGAAGTCAGACGGTTACTGTTGATCCTCAAGGACTGAACTATTTCCGGATGCATTACTCTGAACCACGGTGGCAGCCATATAAACAAAATGGGCAGGCTTTCCTCCACGAAGTCCTTATTCTTTCCCTTTCGCATTGGACCCTGATCGCTGAAAAGAATAACAATCGACTGGGAAAGAACACCAGTTTTCTTTAGTTTTGTCAACATTTCCATGAGGTCAACTTGCATTTTATCATTTGCATAGGATTGCTCAGGGTTTATACTGTTGGCAAAAAAAAGCCCAAACATCGGTCGAGTTGAGTTTGCATGTCGCTTTAAATATTGCTCACAATAGTCGTAGATATACTTGGTATTTAAACGCCTGCCAATGCAGTCTCGTCTCATATTTTGCTTCAGAAAAGGTCGAGCATAAAAGTCCGTAGGACTTTCAAAAAATCCAGACTTGTCCAGATTGAATATTGTCAAGTCGGACATTCCTTCGGCATAGGCAGTGATATAGCCCTTCTTTTTAAAACGTATCCATATCAACGGCATTGTCTTAATGCAACCAATTTTATTTAAACCGCACTTCAGATTCATCCAAGTATGAGGACTGTAGCCGGTTAGTAAAGCCATTAAATTGTGCAGGGCACCCTCACCCACTCTGGTATATCCGACCATTTGGAACCACCCCTGCATTCTCAGATGCTTCAATATTACGGGCATATTGCGTCGAAAGTTGATTTGGGAAACGCCAGCGACTCCAATCATAACTACATTGGGTCTTCTATGCCACGAAATAAGTGGGGTATAGGTCTGAAGAGGTTGCACAAGGGCAAAAGTGTCTGATTGTAGATCCTCGGCCAGTTCATTTCGACAGGCTGCTTTTAGACCCTCGACATCACGGGGCACAACATAGCCATCCGAAAACGCGACTTCCTCACTTAAACTTTTTACAATTAATTTATTAACAAGTTCTTGGTCTATAAAAATATACTACTTACAAAACGGGTGCATCGGCAGTTGTATTGCGATTGACCCTAAGGATTTTGCGATAACTGCAGTTGTAGCCTACTAAGGGGGATTTCTCTTCCATAGCCCCTAGTCTCAACTGGGCAATATTATCGTTTACATTCAACACATATCGCTGAATTTTCTCGTCAAACCGATTGCTTATTAAATCATCGTCTGCGGAGCACAATTTGATATTATCAGTGTACTTTTTTATAACATGCATTTCTTTTGGGGTATATGGAATATGACACTCCGATGTCTTGATAAGGTGCTCATGATTGATTTGTAAGGAAGTCATAGCCAAGTAGCTTACTACAAATAAGTTAATTAACAACAGCAGCGTCCGACTAGGTTCCATATTTAATCTCAACTAGTCGGAATAGGGTGTTTCGCAACAATCGTAAATTAGCCTATTGTCTAGGGTAAATTACAATTTTCATGCTGTAATACTATAAAAATTGGTAAACCAATTATACTTCGTCAGCAATCTTGTGCAACGCTCTTGACTTCCGACTCTTTTTTTCCCTCGCATCACCTTCCGCCCATTTTCTCGGGTACTTACTCAAAATGGCGAAAAACTTACACATGAAAGAAAGTAAATTTGACCAATAAGTTTAAGGCAAGGAAGAACGTGAGCAAGCAGCAAATAGACTTTTTCCGAGATAAAAATAACAACTAGGTAAATGCATTTCTATTTCTTGTAAATTGTGTTGAAGTAGACGGAGAGATGGACTTGACTATTTACTCGTACTTCATTGGATCAGAAACGTCTCCCTGATATATCAAAAGTTAAAATACCCTCTGTAAGACTAAAAATAAACTATTCAGCTTTTAAAAAATAAAAAGTCACCGTGTAATTAATTTGTACGGTACATCAGCCGGTACTTAAAAACATCAGTTGGCTTACATATTTACAATGGCGCGGTTGGCGTCAAGCAAATTTAAAAGACTTTTTGTGTGCTTTCTCGTTGTAAGTTTGATATGTCTTTGGAGTAAGATTCGTTCAACAGAAGATCACATATATAGTATTAGTTTTCGGCAAGCTCACGGAAAGAAAAAACTCTTCTACGTTAAATCTGGAAAGTGTGAATTGCCTTATGTGGATCCATTTAATGCCGAGTTCATGAAAATCAATAACCCAAAGATATTTATACCTTGCACAAATGAAAGTGATCTTATAACTGTACACTACAATAACATTTTCAATCAATATGTGCTACATATAAATGAAGAAGTGCTTCATAGGCTGTCGCAATCGAAAAGTAATGACTTTGCTTGCTTTTACCAAAAAATTATTTACGGTCAATCAGCGGATCGCTACGATAGGTAATGCTGAGTTATAAGTGAAGTTAACTTTCCACTAGAACATATTTCTTTAAGCGCAGAAAAGGAAACAAAACCAAACTAACTCAGGACTGTTTGGTGCCCTTGGATGTCGAAGGGATGTTGGTGGACTGCAGAACAGCGGACGAAGGGATGCTGCTGCAACAAGACGCTTTTATGTTTGTACAATACGAAGAGACTCCTAAGAATTTAAGTCCAGAACGAAAAGCTAGTGTTATTATGTACGGCATAGACACTGTTTCACGCACAAATCTACGTAGGATGATGCCAATGATATACGAGTACCTTAAGTCACCAGGCTGGTATGAAATGATGGGCTACAATAAGGTAAGAAGAAAGTTGCCAATTATTTACTTTCAATAATGAAATGGCAGGATGGGCCAAACCGAACCTTGAAAGATACAAATTTTTAATAAATGAGTGGTAAAAAAATAAATTAAGTCCTTCCTCAAAATATATTTATATGATAATTATCATAGTTATAATGAGATATTTAACATGGGCTGGGCTATATTAAGGGCAACGCTTTTTTACCAAAGCGTTGCGTAGTACACATTTACAGTGACTAACTTAAGTGGTTAAGTTTTAAGGAAATAGTTCTTAAAAACACAAGTGTACCAAGTGTGCAAAATCTGCTTATATTTTCGTTTTTTAATTTTAAAAATTGAGTTTAAAGAGATAATTTAATGAAACAAAATTAATTTGAATGTTAAATATTCCCTTTATCCAAAATAAAATTGTTAATTTTTATAAAACATTTAGAAATGTAGAAAAGCGCACTTGAAGTTTAAGATGCTAAGTGTGCCAAACCTTAAGTTCGTCACTGTATATTGTTTCGGTTAGCTTTGAGTGTTCTGTTTTTTAAAAACGGTCCATGAAACGATTACAGTTTTTTCTGTTTTTAAGCTTTTGTTTTTTTTCCACTTAATCATTTTTTTTTTTAAATAAAGTTTTTTATCACAAATTTTTTTTTATATTTATTCAGAACATTTTCTAAGTTTTATTAAAAGCCTTTTAAAATTGTTCAGTTGAATAAATGTGTGTTAAATAACAAATAAGCAGGATTAATAAGAAGGATTAAAAACAAAAAACGTTAGTGTTGTGAGTGTGGTATTTTCTACACCGTAAACTAAGGTCATACTATTGGGCGAAATGAAATAAATTTGAAGACGAACTTTTACTTTGGAAGCTTCACTTTACCTCCCTAACCCATTCCTCTATCTAACTGCCATGATGTAGGCAAAATACGACTCAATATAACAAAACCTTAGAAAAATGATCGATACTTGAATATAAACTTTAGCTTTTTAAGGGTGTAATTAATATAGCCCCTCTTCTTTGCCTTATATTAAACTGAAAGAAAAAAACAATTTTTAACTTTTACTTAAAATTGTTACCGAAATTACCGCTCCCCTCCCTATGCCAACATTTTTCACAGACATGCAGAAGTAAACATACTAGACGCGTATATACACTTCATGGGGTCGGAGGTATGTAACAGGAAGTATGATTGCATTACATCCAGCACATCTATTCTTCCGCGGACTTGCCCTTTTTATACCCGTTACTCGTAGAGTAAAAGGGTATACTAGATTCGTCGGAAAGTATGTAACAGGCAGAAGGAAGCGTTTCCGACCCCATAAAGTATATATATTCTTGATCAGGATCACTAGCCGAGTCGATCTAGCCATGTCCGTCTGTCCGTCTGTCCGTCTGTCCGGATGAACGCTGAGATCTCGGAAACTATGGGAGCTAGGCTATTGAGATTTGGCGTGCAGATTCCTGAGCTTCCTACGCAGCGCAAGTTTGTTTCAGCAATGTGCCACGCCCACTCTAACGCCCACAAACCGCCCAAAACTGTGGCTCCTACAGTTTTGATGCTAGATAAAAAATTTTACCTGAAATGTAATGTTCTCATCAATACCTATCGATTGACCCAAAAAAAAGTTTGCCACGCCCACTTTAACGCCCACAAACCGCAAAGCCCTTTGACGCCCACAATTTTCATGCTAGATAACAAATTTTAATTGAAATGTATTGGTCTCGTCAATACCTATCAATTGATCCAAAAAAAAATTTGCCACGCCCACTCTAACGCCCATAACGCTTAAATCTGTATACCGCCGGTAGGTGGCGCATTTTAATCTCGCTTTGCTGCTTGCATATCTCCATTTAGCTGAGTAACGGGTATCTGATAGTCGAGGTACTCGACTATAGCGTTCTCCCTTGTTTGTTATTGCTTTCTGTGGGTCAAGTTCCACAATACTGGGCAACAGCTTGGAATATTGCGTCCTTTTTCATCTGCACTGACTTCTAGCAGGAGCTTTCCTTCCGTTTTTGTTCTTTTGTTTCCAGCTAATGGTTTATGTCGATGTGAGTACTAGGCTTAAGCCGTTTTGGCTTCAGGAGTTTCTTCCCTTTTTTTAGGCCCTTATTTTATAGTATTCATAGATGTAGCAGACAATTATGATGCAAAGCCGTAAAGCTTTTTGTTTAAACTAAGAAATGCAATTTAAATTTGAGAACACCAATAATAGTTTGTAATTTGAAATAAGTATTACTCTTTCAAGGAAGTGTGTTAGATCTGTTAAAGATTTACAAATAAAATATTTTTTGCAAAAGGATATTAGTAGGTTTTATAAAGAATTGAATGTGGTATTATTATGGGGCATATAAAAGGGGAGGGGGTATGTTATCGGATATTATTGCTAGCCTGAAACGTTGCATCTTGCACGCTCTAGCTCCTACGTCTTGGCCTTAATTTTTTATCTTTTCTTTTACATATACTATATTGAGATAATAACAAATTATTCAGCAATGCATAAAAGCTAGTTTGTGTGAAATCACCTGTATTTCATAGATCAAATACCCCACTGTGGGACGGCCCGTTTAACGTCAAACTTAGTAATAGTTAATTATTTTAATTTTAGGTGGCAGATAATTCCTTTCCCAACATATTCGCTATGCTAACGGGGTATTCTCCAGAGACGGCAGAAACTCAAGTTTGCAATACGGATAATTATGGATGTTTGGATAAAATTCACTTTATTTGGAAGGAATATAAGAAACACGGCTACTTGACAGCCTATGCCGAAGATGAGGAAATATCAAATACCTTCAATTATATGAAACCAGGCTTCGCCGTAAAGCCCACAGATTACTATTTCCGTCCCTTTTTAACTGCCCTGGAAAAAGAGACTGTGGTCAGGTATAATGCTGGTTCGTTGATGAAGTATTGTCTAGGTCGTCGACTGGCCAACAGCTATATCTTCGACTATTGCCGACAGTTTATGCAGCGATTCGTGGCCGATCGTCCCATATGGGGTATGTTTTGGTCAAATCACTTTAGTCACGACGACTTCTTTATGCTTTCTGCCATGCAGCATAAGATCTTAAACGACCTGCTCGATTTTGAGAAAGATGGGGCTTTCGAGCATACTATAATGATCTTCTTCTCCGATCATGGAGCTCGGTTCGGTCCTCTGATGCGCATGAAGGAATCATTTTTGGAGGAACGACTACCCATGATGTTCATTTACCTACCACCCTGGTTCCGGGCTAAGTATCCCCAATACGTTGAGGCTCTGTCCCTGAACCAGAATCGACTGAGCTCAAACTTCGACATTTACAACACCTTGAAGCACATCCTACAGATTGATAATGTCGTAGAGGAAACAAAATGGTCATTCGACTGCCCCCAGTGTCAGTCCCTCTTTTACCCTCTGCCCGAGAATCGCAGCTGTTCGGAGGCTGCCATAGCGGAGGCCTACTGTACTTGCCACAACTACGAGGAAATCAAGGAGGAACCATGGACCTGGCGCATGGCCGATCTGGTGGTGGATCGCATCAACAATTATTTACGGTTTTACAATCTACAAAATCAATGCAGCAATCTTACTTTGAAAGTGGTCAACATTACCGAACAATGGATGGAGGAGATCGACGGTGATGTTAACCGACCGAAAGGAATGCGATATTATCACACCAAGCTTCAGGTGCATCAGAATATGGCTGAGTTTTTTGCCACCGTTCTGTACAACAGGGAAACAGAAGAACTCAAAATAAACGTGAAACTCATCAGCCGTATTAATAAGTATGGTACTGATTCAGAATGCATCAACAATAAGATTCATAAGTTATATTGTGTATGCCTATCAAAGCTTCGAACACCATAACTCTAAAATGAAATTAACTAACAATTGCAAAACGTGTCTGACACACAATAACCCCGGAAAAACAAACAAAAAGTAGAAATAGTTATTTACAAATTGAAGTTGTTTTCGCAAATTCATTGTAACTTCACTCCCATAATGGGAACATGCAAATAATAATTATTGAAGTCAATGCCTGTTGATCTTATTTTCTCGTTAGTCGTTAGTTATAACTTCACCCAGTCGGATCGTAATATTTACTATTAAATTATAGATTTTTAACCGCGCTTTGATATTAACTGGTATTAATAAAAGAAATCTTGTAATCTTAAAATCCTCAAAGTTTTTCCATAGTTGTAGCGATGATTAAGTTCGTTATTTTTTTAAATAGTATCACTGAAGCTAGCAATAATCCTCAAAAATTCAACATTTCCCATTTCATTTAACTGCAAGGATACATCAACTTCGAATTGCTGAAGTTAACTTGCTTTCTTGTTTTAGGATCATATTGACAATGAAGGAGCCTATTGCTGTCCCTCCTAAACGTTTTCTATGGTGCATTCCCATTTTCTGCCTTTTAATTTTTTGGAACACAATGCCCTACGAAGTAAATGAAAAGATTAATACATACAATAAGGAGACCAAAAAACGATTTTACGTAAATAGCCCAAAATGTCAAATACCCTACGTGGAGCCCTATAATTCTGAGTTCATGAAAGTCTACAAGCCAAAAAACTTTACACCCTGCTCCAATCAAAGTGATCTCATTACGGTGCAATTCGATAAAATGTTTAATCAATATGTGGTACATATTAATGAGGAAGTGCTCCATAAGCTGTCCCAGTCGAAAAGTAATGACTTTTCTTGCTTTTACCAGAAAATTGTCTACGGTCAATCACCGGATCGCTACGATAAGTAATGTTGTTACGACTAAACATGAGTTTCTAAAACAAAATTTATGTTTTAAAACAGGAAGGGGAACAAAACCAAACTTACTCAGAACTATTTTGTGCCCTTGGATGTCGAAGGGATGTTGGTGGACTGCAGGACAGCGGACAATAAGAGACTCCTGCAAAAAGACGCTTTTATATTTATACAACCGAAAGAGACTCCTCAGATTTTAAGGACAGATCGAAAGGCGAGTGTAATCATGTACGGTATAGATACCGTTTCACGCACAAACCTACGTAGGATGATGCCGATGGTATACGAGTTCCTACAGTCACCAGGGTGGTACGAAATGATGGGTTACAACAAGGTACAAAGTGTGCCAATTTTTAAATGCTCCTAGTAGTTAAGATCGTCGAATAAAGATCTCCTTTTTCTTTTATTCAAGGTGGCTGACAATTCCTTCCCTAACTTATTCCCTATGCTAACTGGCTTTTCCCCGGAGACGGCAGCAACTCAGGTTTGCAACACAAGTCAGGAAGGATGTTTAGACAAAATACCCTTCATATGGAAGGACATGAAAAAAAGAGGATATTTGACCGCCTATGCTGAAGATTCGCAATGTATAAACACCTTCAATTATTTGAAACCAGGCTTTTCCTACAGGCCAACGGACTTCTATTTCCGTCCTTTTTTAAACGCCCTGGAAAAAGAAACTATGATCCAATATTGCCGGGATTGTAAACTGAAATACTGTTTGGGTCGTCGACTGGCCAATAGCTATATCTTCGACTACTGCCGACAGTTATTGCAGCGCTTCGTGGCCGATCGTCCCATATGGGGTATGTTTTGGTCAAATCACTTCAGTCACGATGACGTCTTTATGCTCTCTGCCATGCAGCATAAGATCTTAAACGACCTGCTCAATTTTGAGAAAGATGGGGCTTTCGAGCATACTATAATGCTATTTTTCTCCGATCATGGAGCTCGGTTCGGTCCTCTGATGCGCATGAAGGAATCATTTTTGGAGGAACGACTACCCATGATGTTCATTTACCTACCACCCTGGTTCCGGGCTAAGTATCCCCAATACGTTGAGGCTCTGTCCCTGAACCAGAATCGACTGAGCTCAAACTTCGACATTTACAACACCTTGAAGCACATCCTACAGATTGATAATGTCGTAGAGGAAACAAAATGGTCATTCGACTGCCCCCAGTGTCAGTCCCTCTTTTACCCTCTGCCCGAGAATCGCAGCTGTTCGGAGGCTGCCATAGCGGAGGCCTACTGTACTTGCCACAACTACGAGGAAATCAAGGAGGAACCGTGGACCCGGCGCATGGCCGATCTGGTGGTGGATCGCATCAACAAGTACCTCCAAGCTAACAATCTGCTGGATCGATGTAGCAATCTTACTCTAAAAGTAGTTAACATCACTGAAGAAAGAATATTAGAGCTCGGTGAAGACGTAAAAGTAGCAAAGGGAATGCGACATTACCACACTAAGTTCCAGGTAAATCAAAATATGGCAGAATTTTTTGCTACTACTCTCTACGATAAAGAGACCGAGGAGCTCGAAATCAATGTGGAACTTATTGGTCGATATAATATGTATGGTCCCGATGCGGAGTGTCTAGACAATAAGATCCAAAAGATGTATTGCATATGCCTATCAAAGATATGGACATACAAATAGCATCGTTTATTGAGTCATGAGCCAACGCACTCCAAAATAAAACCCTATTTCCGCATCAATTAAAATGTTTACTAAACCACTTAACATTTATTTCATATATAATTTTACAAAAAATGTTTAATACATATATATTTGCTTCCCGTATAGTTTAAATGTTTAATGGTTAAGACATTTTATTGTCCCCCAAAACCTGACCTAAGCCAAACTAACAGAGCTTGCATCATTAGACGTTCAAATTTTTAAATAACCATTCGCGGTTCCACGGGAAGAATTCGGTGCATAAGTCCTCCAAGTAAAAACAATAAAATGATTAAGAAGGCATTCCAATTAAAATATGTATTTTATTCCAAATTTCATATCAAGAATGTGCATATTTAAACGGATACAACTTTGGAGGCTCCTTAAAGAATTCTTTAAAAACTTTATCTTCCTAAGTTCAACGAGAGGATGAATATGCAATAAAGATTCGTCGTCAAATATGTAGCAGATATGTATATACATATATTTGTCGGAAAATTGGAGCCTTCTCCATGAAGGTTCGCATTAGTCGCTTGGTCGATTGCTTGTTGTTGGCTTGTTGGCTGATGCAGCGAGTCTTCGTTGCCTTTGTTGCTCATAATAATTAACCTTTTAGCAGTCCTCAATTGTACACCACGTTATAGCTCAGGACGAAAAGAGAAAGGGAGCGACCAGACCTAGCAACGCAACGAAGCCACACAAAACCTCAGTTCGCAAACTGAGTCCCGATCATACCAAAACTGATATGTACCAGTTTTACTCATGGTCACACCTTAAAGTATCATGCCTAACGAAAGACTGAACTACCTCCTCTCCGACATATTCTTGTTCAGGATCTGTCCGTATGCACGCTGTGATCTCTGAAACTAAAAAAACTAGAACATTGAGTATTCCTATTAAGGTTCCTTAGCTTTCGATTTATCGAAAAATTGTTTTCCAAATTAACTACTCCCACTCTAAGGCCCACAAAAATGTGTAAAGTTAAATTATAGCATCAAACAATTGATATCAGAACTTTTGATTGCTGTAGGTGCGAACGTCACTATATTTAACCCTCGTTGAAAGGTGTTTTTGTTTGATATGTTTTATAGCTGCAATAGCAACGATCTGCAAGAGTATACAAACTTCGGCTTCCAGCAGTTAGCTGCCCTTCATATTTAAGAAAATTTTCTAATATATTTGTTTCTTTTTTTGAGAAAAATTAATTTTAATCTTCACGAAATGCAAAATGTGCCAACGCCATCTGAGGAGAGGAGGTCTGCGGGGCTGGATGGACGGGTCCAACGCCTGGGGGAAGAAGTCCGCGCGATGGGGAGTGAGGTCCACAAAATGCGGACTGATCTGGCGGAGTTGAAAGCCGTGAACTCTGCCATTCTCGACTCCACTTGCGCCGTGTTGGCTCTGGAGGAAAATGGCACCAGTCGAACCAATTCTAAAGGCCGACTTCCCCGTCCGGTCGCTAGACCTATTAAAGGTGGTCGATAAAATATACGGAAAAATGGAAAAATATGTAAGTTTCCCAAATCGAAGCGTTCACGGACAGACTTTAACTGGAATAACAACTTACATTAAAATTGAAAATAACAAAAAATTGTATTTCTTAAATGAAAAGTATACAATGCAATGTAGGAGAAGATTCCAGCCCCATAAAATTATCGTCACCTACATTGCGTTTAAACTTTTGATTTAAGAAATATAATTTTTTATTATTTCCGGATTTTAATGTAATATTAATAACATTCATATTTTCTAGTAATTTTTATATTTTTATTTCAGGTACCGCTCTTTAAATCCATTTTGGGGAATAATTTGATAAAAAACTTGAACCAAAGCCCTGAAGTAATCATTCAATTGAACTACAGTGGGTCTAGAGTCTAGACAAATTTGTGCATGAATATTTTAATTGTTATGAGATTCTTTGGGATGTTGTTTCTCTTCACGGACATGTAACGGGGCAAATTTTATTCGATATATTATTTATATCATTTAAAACTGTTTTATTGGAAAATAATAAAAATAGGCTAAGTTGCGTTCGCACAGATGGAGCAAAAGTAATGACCGGAAAAATCAAAAGCCTAGCAGGTATTTAAAAGAAATGGGTTTTCTTGCCTCTTCTTTCATTGCGTTATCCACCAAGAAGCCCTATTCGCCAAGGAACTAAAAATGGTTAACGTAATGAGCACTTCCGTTAAAATAATGGTCATAATAGCTTAACACATTGGGAATTTTAGAGATTTATTGAGGAGCTAAGTGCAGATTATGGAGATCTACTTATGTATACAGAGGTTAGATGGATAAGTCGGTAAGATGGCTAAAGCCCTGAAGTAATCATTCAATTAAATTACAGTGGGTCTAGACAAATTGCAAATATCCATAATTTGAATTCAGTCCTGCAAGGTACGTCCATTTTTTTATTAAAAACTTTGTGACGTTTTCTTTGAATTAAACAGTAGCCAATATTAGAAATAATATATAATATTATAAATGTTATTAACCAAAGCTAATAATTTTAAATGTGTTTATATCTTTGCAGAATCACAAAAAGGGGCAGGTTATGCCTTACTACGTGAAAGACATTCGGTTGGCATTCGTGAGGCAAAAGAACCAAATTTATAAATGAAAAAGCGCCCTAAAGAAGGCCAACCCGGAACCAGGAGCCGAACCAGAGAGCGATTCTGGTTGAAAACAAATAAATAAAACAAGAAAGGGACCAAAGGGAAATGGAGATATGCAAACAGCAAAGCGAGAATAAAATGCGCCACCTACCGGCGGTAGACAGATTTAAGCGTCATGGGCGTTAGTGGCAAATTTTTTTTGGATCAACCGATAGGTGTTGACGAGCTCAATACATTTCACTTAAAATTTTTTCATAAAAATTGTGGGCGTCACAGGTTTGGGCGGTTTGTGGGCGTTTAACTGGCAAACTTTTTTTTGGGTCAATCGATAGGTATTGATAAGAACAATATATTACAGCTAAAATTTTTATTCTAGCATCAAAACTGTAGGAGCCACAGTCTTGGGCGGTTTGTGGGCGTTAGAGTGGGCGTGGCACTCTGATGCGTAAGAAGCTCAGGAATCTGCACGTCTCAATAGCCTAGCTCTTATAGTTTCCGAGATCTCAGCGTTCATCCGGACAGACGGACATGGCTAGATCGACCCGGCTAGTGATCCTGATCAAGAATATATATACTTTATGGGGTCGGAAACGCTTCCTTCTGCCTGTTACATACTTTCCGACGAATCTAGTATACCCTTTTACTCTACGAGTAACGGGTATAAATATGAAATTTAAATCCAGATTTATGTATTTCTGGGGAAATCTTCCAGATATTGGTGCATTCTTGGGTACATGTTACAGGTGCATTAAACAAGAGTACACCCAGAGGGTGTTTAGTATGTTGCTTCCAGGTGCACTAAAAAAAGAGTGCACCCAGAATTTGTTTAGTTTGTTACTTCCAGGTGCAATCCAGATACATGCTTCCAGAAGCGTGCAACGGGTGCATTCTTCTTTGTCCGCACCCGTGTAAAAAGAATGGACAGACTCATCACTTCCGGAAAACCTTTTTGATGCCATCTTATAATGAAAGAACACATTCTGGAATGCTGTCACTTGCGCCTGGGTGTTCGTGTGCCTTCGGCATGGGTCTTCGTGTATTTTTTTCTCAGCTTCGACTCGTTTTTTTGCTGCTGCGTCATGGCAGAGCAACAGAAATCAAAATCACTTGCTGTTCAGCCGTCGACAGAGAAAGACCACGCTGTCCAAGTTTATGATTCACATTAAGAAAAATAAAATTCAATAAAAATTGGGAATTGCAAAATTTTGTTATAGAAAATATTTATGGGGACGCAGAATGCGTAATTTGTAGTTCTTTTTTACCAATTAGTAAATTATACAATATAAAAAGACATTATTCCCTTAAACATTCGGACTTTAAGGATTTAATTGATGGGCGCGAAAGAAATTTGTTAGAGCTAAAAGCGAAATATTTTCTATTACATGTTGCCCATACAATTCCCAATAAAGACAATTCAGCTTTGAAAAATACATCTTATGTATATCGTAGCGTTAGCCTTAGCAAAGCAATGCCGGTCATTCACCAATGGATTTCATTTTTATATTTAATGACAGAAAGATGAATTTTAGAACGGTGCGAAAACATTGCGTTGTCCCCGGTCCATTTCCCGTAGAACTGAAAAAAATTATACAATTTTTTTTTTGCAACAAAAGAGAAATTTACATTTTTCTATTTGCCTGGATGAAAGTACTGACATAAACAATATTTGCCAACTAACAATATTTATAAAATTTGTGCATGAAAATTTTAATTGTTATGAGATTCTTTGGGATGTTGTTTCTCTTCACGGACATGTACCGGAGCAAATTTTATTCGATATATTATTTATATCATTTAAAACTGTTTTATTGGAAAATAATAAAAATAGGCTAAGTTGCGTTCGCACAGATGGAGCAAAAGTAATGATCGGAAAAATCAAAGGCCTAGCATGTATTTAAAAAAAATGGATTTTCTTCTTTCATCGCCAAGAACCTAAAAATGGTTAACGTAATGAGCACTTCCCTTAAAATAATAAATAAAATATGGGGTGGTCATAATAGCTTAACACATTGGGAATTTTAGACATTTATTGAGGAGCTAAATGCAGATTATGGAGATCTACTTATGTATACAGAGGTTAGATGGCTAAGTCGGGGAAAATGTTTAAATCGCCTTTTTGATTTAAGAAGTAAAGTAACGCCAAGGAACTTCTCAGTTTATAAAAATTCAGACTTTTTGTTATATTTTTTTTGTTTTGTTGTGACATTACTTCGTTATTAAATGATCATAATTTATGCCTTTAAAGAAAAAACAAACTAATTTTTGACATAATGCGTTCAATAAATATGTTTCATAGAAAACTTTCAATCTTAATTAATCAATTAGAGAATATAAAATTAGATAGTTTAGAGAAAACAAACGCAATATTTTTAGAATTAAATATCAGTAGCTTAAAAAAAGAAGATCAATTCGTATTCCTAATTAGGTCTCTGCATAAGAACATAGAAAATAGATTCCAAGATCTGAATTCCATAAAGTATCTTTTTGATTTGCATAATTTTCTACTAACATGTGATATTATAAATTTAGACTAAGAAAAAGCAGAATGCGCGGCTAGCTTATTCTATTGAATAATTAACAATTTAAGAAATTTGTCCTTTTTGTCTTCCCCTCTAACTCTCCAATAAACTCAAAACAAATTTTAATTATCTATGTAATTTCGATTAGGTTAATGTAAGCTTTAAATTGCTGAAAAACAATGGTAGGGACGCGAAAGAGGGTTTATCGCTCTTTGCATTATCTTTCTCTCCATTCTGGCATGCAGTGCAGTCACATAAGCGAAAACGATAGAGACAGAACATCTTTTACCCAGTGTTGAAAAGCGCTAGAAGGCAGTAAAAGGCACGAAAACTAATGACCGTCAAATTAGCGTCGGTGACTTAGCGTCGATGGCGGAACGGTGGAGTCTGGAACATGGGAACCATTTTTTTTATTTTCTCGGCTTCTTGAGGCCGAATGGACAAATATTAAATGCAGAATTGTTTAAAATGAAAATATCTATCGATCTAGATAGTTTGCAAACATATCCATTGTGGGTTCCCACAATTTTGTTTATTGCTCCCCTTACAGAGGTTGTACCAGTATGCATGGTAAACCTAGTTATTGGGCGTTAGTTCAAGCTTCTTGTCAGAAAGTATCATTGAGCTAAACCGTCAGTTTTTGAGAAAATCACTTAACAGAGAATGCATCTCGGATTTTCCCCATACTAAAAAGGTGGGCAAATATTAAATTTCACAGGGCTCCACTCTCAGACGTTGTACCAACATACACGGTATATTGGCAGATTGGGGATCGCCTAAAGCAAGTTCAGTGAATAAATCATAAAGATAAACCCGTCAGTTTTTGAGAAAATCGCTTTACTGTAGGGGAAGATAAATAATTAAAAGAAGTGCCGTCAGATATAAATTTGAACCAGAAAGTTCCAAGACATGAACCACTATGTAAAATATGTATTCAGGACACTAACCATATGGGAAAAAAATAATGTTTCGACGCTATCTCTATTTTTAATTAATTTGACTTTCACAGACGTTGTACCAACATGCAGGGTACCTCGTTGGAAAGGAAATTCATTTTACTAATTAACAAATGCGGTTCGGCGAACGAAAAGCCGTCAGTTTTTGAGAAAAAAGCATAGTGCGTTGTGGGCATCTCATTTGTTCCAAAATTGTAACTAGGAACACATTAACCTTATATCGATACCCTATATCGATACTTCGATAAAAGCAAGCTGAAAGTGTGGCATCACTCCCGATTCGCGGGAACTTTTTATTTCCCAAGAAAGAAGAAAATGTCGATGGTGCTGCTGGTCAAGTGCGTAAGTAATTTATATGTACTAATTAAAATGAACATTTACAGAACGTAGACAAGTTCATCGTTGGAGAGAATGGTGAGGGGGGGGGGGCTCCCCCACCAAACGCAAACAAACAAAGGCCACAGAAGCGCCGCAAGACTGCGAAGGCGGCAAATCAGGAGGCGGCTAGCGAGGAGGCGGCTAGCGAGGAGGCGGCTAGCCAGGAGGCGGCTATCCAGGAGGCGGCTGATCAGGAGGCGGCCGCCGATAAGGCTGACGATGATAAGGCTGATGGCCAATAAATATATATCAAGAAATAAATAAATATCAAAAGTAAATGCGTCGAATTTTTATTTGTATACCCGTTACTCGTAGAGAAGGAAAGTATGTAACAGGCGGGAAGCGTTTTCGGCCCCATAAGGTATATATACATAATCTTGATCTGGATCACTAGCCAAGTCGATCTAGCCATGTCCCTCCGGATGAACGCTGAAATCTTGGAAACTATAAGAGCTAGGCTATTGGGATTTGGCATGCAGATTAATGAGCTTCTTACGGAGCGCAAGTTTGTTTCAGCAGCGTTTACAGCGTTTATTCTTCACTGTTTAATGTGTATAGAATGCACTGTAAAAGTTTCAAATATTCTATAACTGTATATAATTATTTGGTACTTTTTTGAATGTATGAATGATATAAGAAGATATGTAAATCACAAATAACATTGACAATTATTTACTTTCCCTGCCGTTTCGAGTACGGTTCGCGCCTTTGTAACTGCTGTAGTTCCATGACTAAACCTCCGCATTGCAAGTTCATATCCTTGATCTGCTCTGAGGGACAGCTTGGAAAACTAGAGGCGCTTCAGTTCCCCTTTCAGGGCCGACGGGCTGCTGCACTTTTTGTGGCCAAGGCAACCCCGTTTAAGGAACTCAGAATTTGTACAAAATACACGAATTTTTCATGCCCTACAAAAAATAAAATTAAAAAAACTCGATACTTCCCTTAGTGTATTTTATAAAAAAAATTTTGTAATGAAGA